GTTGGACTGGTTGACAATACACTATGACCATATCTTAATTGACAAGCAGAAGTCAGAAAAGCAAGGCCCAACTAATTCATAGCATGGATAGTAATCAACTAATTGATCAATTTGTATGGTTTTACAGCAATTGTAGTATATAGGCTACTAATTACTTTCCTAAGGCCAACGTTTCATATGTGCCCCCCCCCCTGTACTGGCTTCGTAGTCAGGGGTGTCACTAAGGGGTTGGGCCCCCCTTGAGATTATCTTTTTTTTTGTACGGAGCTGGCAATTGAAGACTAATTTTTTTCTTTCTTGATTTGAAAAAAAACCCCAACGTAGGTTACTTGTCAGGAAATTGTAACAACGACTACCCCCCCCCCCCCATTCAAAATGGCCTAGCGACAACCCTGTGAATATCATAGGCATAACTGATATAAATGCAATCCCAAAAACATTCCATATGAAAGATGAAGCGATAAAATATCGACGCCTATTTTTGAGTAAATCGACTGTAAATCATTTATGTATGTAATCAGATGAAAATGACAAATTATTGATGTATAAATGTTGTACCTCTTTCTACAGATATAAATAATGAGCTCATACATTTGTAACAAAGGCTTTTTTTCTATAAATAATTGCGTGGCAAAGAAATTCAGGCACAATACTTTAAATTCTTTCCCAATGGATTGTCTCTTTTTAACTCTCTGTCTCTCTCTCTTTCTCTCTCCCTCTCCCTCTCTATCTCTCTCCCCTTCCCCTCTCTCCTCTCTCTCTCTCTCTCTCTCTCTCTCTCCCCCCTCCCCCTCTCTCTCTCTCTTTCTTCTCTCTCTCTCTCTCTCTCTCTCTCCCTCTCTCTCTCTCTCTCTCTTCTCTCTCTCTCTCTCTCTTCTCTCCCTTTTCTCTCTGTTCTCTGTCTGCTCCCTCCTTCTATCAAACTCTCTCTTCTCTCTACTTAAAAAAACAAAACATAAAGAGAGCCTGATGGAGAGAGAGAGAGAGAGAGAGAGAACGAGAGAGAGGGGGAGAGGGAGAGAGAGAGGGAGAGAGAGAGAGAGAGAGAGAGAGAGAAAGAGAGACATTTCTGAAGTGCTGTACACGTCACTTGCCATTGTCCAGGAGCTTCAATCATTCTCTAGTGGCGGAAACAGTCTCCCGATGTCATGGCAACCATCTGCGCGGCCTTGGCGTGTCGTTCTCATAACAAAATGCTTTGCTACAGAGCACTAAGATGCACGCGATTCCATCAAATACATGAATAATTGATGTGGGTTTGATAACGCATTAAATATGAAAAAAGTCATCGAGCATCAGGTTGTGTATGGGAAGGTGGAGAGGCATACAGCATATGTAATTTGTTTATCAGAAGTGAAGGGCATTTAGGAGCTTTATTATTTCTTAAAGAAGTATATTGATTAAAGCTGCATGACTGTGTCCTGTAATGTTGTGAATTTGTGCAAATTTCAAGTCAATGCATTGACCATCTCCTCTAAATACACTCTATAATTTTGTTTTCGATATTGTTATGAATCTAGTGTCACTTCCTTTTTCTTTTTTTTCCTCTTTTTTTTATAGTATCTCTATTTCATTTTGACAAGAACTACAGTATGTACTGGAGTTGATTTATCTCATACACTAGATCAATGCAAATAAATGTTTACATGTCTCATAATAAAATGTACCGGTGTATAGATTTAAGTTAAGATTATTCCTAATAAGTAATCCATCATTTACATCATTCACATATAGGTAAATACACGTTTTTTGCTTTCTCTGTCTTTGATATTTTCTCCCTCCTCGTTCTCGTTATTGGTTCCACCTCATCATTTGAACTTATATTTACTTTTAATTGTATATTTTTAATTTTATTATTGGGGGTAGTCCTCGACAAATCATTTTTGAATTTTGACTGCCCCTTCTACATTTGCTGATTTTTTTCTTTTTAAAACATACTTTGTTCCATATGGAGTCGCTTTATATATGATGTACATGTTCTATTATTGTAATGTATGTATGTATTTTATTTTGTGTATTTTCCTATGTTTGGCATTTGTGGAGAAATTTGAGAAAATTGAATTGAATTGAGATATTTCATAAAATACATTAAACTTCAGTATCATTTGTCTATTTTCTCTTCTCCCTCTATTACTGCAAAGTGCCTGTACCATTTGATTGGTGAACAAAAATTGAAATCATTTGATAATCTTGTTGAATATTGTGGTTTATAATTTAAAGACTACATCTCGCACTGATAAAAAGTCTGCACATTGCGCAGTTGAAAAGTGTCAAGTTTCCGGAGGAAGGTTATGGACGTTTCTTCCACCACGAATTACGATGCTTAAAGACCCTATCCGATGAAAATACAACTTGATATAAATGGAAAAATGAATGAATGTTGAATACAAATACAAAGAAATAAGTATTTACCCTTGCATTTTTGCTCGAAAGCGTTTTCCGACAACTTCTAATTTTCAAAGCTTTAGATTTTGAGTTTTCAGAGAGCTGATACTCCTCTGACAAACACTAACATGGCATATAATTGATATTATTGAAATGTATGATTTATAAGCTTTCCGTTGATATATGATTCATCCATTTCATTTTTCAGTTCGGATATGGTCTTTAAGATGACATTCAACACCAATCAAATTTCATTTTTTACACGACAAGCCTAAAAGGGCACAAACAGTGTATGTTGCAGTAATTCATTCAGAACACCATCAATCAATCATTCTACATCACATTCACACCTGTCTTTCCACAATATCTTATTCAGGAAATGTCATTAGTAAGAAAATGGGTAATAAAAGACTTCATATGAATTGTTATGTTCTGGTTAAGTCCCATAAGTAGAATATGCTACATTTCAATGATATTATAAAAAAAAACATAAAGAAGAAAATCAAATATTCACTAACAACTTTAATGTCTCATTGATTTTTTGTTTATTTCTTCTTGAGGGTTTGTATGGAAGACTGAATTTGTTTAAAGTAAACAAAATAATACTTCTGTACTATATCTCTCTTACCGCCTCCCTCTTCCTCTTCATCCACCTCCGTCTCTCATCTCTCCACCCTCGCTCTTCCTACTCAGGCGCGTATGTAAGAGGGGGGGGGGGGTAACCCCCCCCTTAGATTTTGTAATGTGTGTGTTTTGGAGGAAATCCCCCTCCTTTTTTGGTTATAGTATAAAATTTAAAAAAATTAAAAAATTGTGGTATAGAAAAAAAAAATGACCTTAAAGGTACTATGTCCCATTTGCAGGCCAAAAAAATGAAAAAGTTAAATTCCAACTGCATTTGAAAGATAATACTAATTTAGAACTTCCCTAAAAAAGGTGGGGCTTGAAAATGTCTTCAAGTGGGAAAATAATGACTATTAGTTGTCAAATCGACTTTAGGGCTATAGAGCCCAAAAGTAATAATAATAATAATAATAGCCTAATAAGTCCACTCCAAATTTTATTAAACCGAAACGAAAATTCTTTTTGCCCAATTGATCGTGAGCCCGGCAGCCACTGAGCAGCGCCAGACAATTGTACCGAATGGTCATACGTTTTATGCTGCACAAAGATTCAATCAGTTTAATATTGGCCATTACAAGAAGTGGGTTATTGATGTAGACAAATGCTCATGTACCCTTTACAACTCTTTTCATGTATATGTTATTACCAAAGAAGAAAAAAGGCCAGTCAGTCACTCAATAGTGTCTGACAGTGAAGTCTAGCAAGTAAACGGGTTTCCTTGCATAATTTGAATATGAGGACACTGCTAACGTTTAAATTTCACAGATAGGACATACATGACATATTCATAATTCCTGCAAAGTTCTACAGAAGTTGAGGTTGGCTGCAAAAGGGACATAGTACCTTTAATGTGCTCCTCCATCTCGCTCTTCCTCTTCATCCCTCCTCCGTCTCTTCTTTCGCTCTCTCCCCTCTCTCTTCTTCTCATCTCTCTCTCTCTCTCTTTCCCCCTCATCTCTCCCCCCTCGCTCTTTCTCTCATCTTTCTCTCTCTTTCTCTCCCTTTGCTTTCTGCTTTTGTTCTGTCCATCTTCTTCTCTCCATACATTTCTTTATCATGACAATATAATTATGTGACAATAATTATCTTTAATAATAATTTTATTATTTACAAATATGCTAAATAAATCATACATGCATGTTGAACCACTAATACAACAGATACTACACTCATACATTTCTATACATTTCTAATAAATGCCAACTTTCTATAAACTGCATGGAAAAGAAATCAAGTGCCATCCTTTCTTTCTTTTTTAATTAGAGCTTACATTTCATTGATGACATTATACTGAAATACAGGTTACAGTACTTTAAATAAGATTAATTAGCCTCTAATGCCTCAGTCACACATTTGCGTATTGCTGCGTATATATGGCAAGCTGTTGAACATTTATTCCTATTTCTTGATATCAAAAAAAGATTTTCTGTTGTAAAGCAATGGGAATTCTTGATATCAAGAAATAGGAATAAATGTTAAAACGGCTTGCCATAAATATGCAGCAATATGCAAGCCAAATACGCAAAGGTTTGACAAGAAGGGTAGAGACAACTGAGAACTATAGAGTACTGGTTGGTACTTTAAATATATTGAAAGTAATCTTGTGGGGAAAATGTCTTGAAGTATGTCGCTATCTTTTGACAAGTAAGATCCAAATATATACACAAGAACTCCCACAGACAACATGCATGCAGAGACTGAGATTGCAGCTGAATAATATTTTTAACGCAAATTTATTGTTGTCTGTTATTATTTTATTGTTATTCATGTCAATTTAGATGCAATTTTTAAGGTTTATTGATATTTCATTAATGAATGGGGAACGACAGTTGGCCTGTTTCAAACAGTTTTTGAGAAGCATAGCAAAAAAATGAAATTTCAAATCATATCTTTTGTATTTTATTTTGTATTACTTTCTAATATATTCTATTGGTTTTTTCTCATATAGTCTCTGCTCAAAATGCAAAATATATTTCAAGTACTTCAAGACATGCAAAATAAAGCAAAAGGTTTAATAGAAGACACAATCTGCAGTGTTAGAGTTTTACAGCATTTAAGGAAGAGCAAGATTTTGTACACAAACAAATTCCAAAAGTTGATTATCATATAACTTTGTGGCAAATGCCATATTTTTGCAAACTTGGTCTCAAAATATCCAAGACACATATAAAGGCATAGTGTTATACTGACACTACTTCAGATACATATGTATAGTACAATCTGCTGACCACAATGTCTCAGAGACAGCCATGTGACTGTCCAACAATGCATCAACAACTGAACTATGTGCGCATGATGATGCTAAGTACTGAAACTGGAAATTGCTCTATGCAGTTGAAAATACATTACAGCGGTGGTAGCGATGTCGGTAAAATACCCTGCCTTTATATCCCCACTGTACTACTTGTAGCAAATTGCTCCCTCTATATAGAAAACTTCCCCAATCAGTGCCTGTTGGTCCCCCATGATCCTCTTTTTCTTAAGTTAATTGAGACCTGAGTTGATGAGATAGCCACCGGTCAGTGACGTTGCTGGGGGGTCTACTCCCTTCTGGCCGAACTAGTACAGACGGCCTTTAAATGAAAATAGTTACCAAACAGCATGTGATTCTGCAGCTGTCATGAACATCATACGAGGGGTCTATTCAATATAAGTAAATCATTTCTTTTGATAACAGCTCAGCAACAAAGCAATGTCATGATTTATGAAAGTGCATCATATGTTTTGGGGACTTTATAGACCCTATTCGATGAAAATACAACTTTATATCAATGGTAAGCTGAATGAAGGTGGAATACTAATATAAAGGAATAAATATATTCTACCTGTCAGTATTTCACAAAAGCAAATTAAAGCCTAATTTTACACACAGCCCCTCCAACTTATGGGTCAACAGGGTCAACTTAAGGTGACAACATAACATGTTCACACGATTGGCTTGCCTATATACATGTAGCTGAGGCGATGAGCCGTGCTTTATGCAAAGTCATTGTGAATATACATGCTCCACATAAGATGATGTCATCAAGTTGACAGCTAGTTTTTGGGTAAACAACTTTAAGTTACTAGTTTCGAAAATATATTGATTTTGAGTTTTCAGAGAGCTGTTACTCCTCTGACAGACACCAAAATAGCAAAATGTAATTTATGGCTTATAAGCTTTCCATTGATATACAGGTACAATTCATCTATTTCATTTTGGACTGTCAACAGGTTCTTTAAAATACCATCACATCTCCATTTGGGCCATTGTGAGTTGGTCTTGAGGTTGATTCACTGGTCTGCGCATATGCAGGATTGATTGGATTCAGTCAATCTTTCAGATGGTAATGAACAGGACAGTCTCCAGGCATCGAATTGAAAGCCATGCAACAAAGTCTGTAGGCATAGACTGGATCCTAGACACATGAACACAGTTCCACAGTGACTTTAACCTAGTCACTTAAAAGCAGTCACTGAAGATTTTACATGAAACCATTGGGATAGTTTTGAGCACTGGTAGTTCAGACCCTGTCTTAATAGTCCAGAGTGAGTGCCTACAACTAGCAATGAAGCAATGCTTGCCTTTAGAGTTCTTAATCATAACAAAGTACTAACCAATGACCCGATTAGAAGCAACGCTTCATTTTAAAGTTTCTAAAGCATGGAACAGCTGTAGAAGAGTCTATAACTGTTATCCCATCATAACTCTGTAACCAATGACCTGACTTGCATGACTGTATGTAGCCCTGTCTGAAGTTGAGCCAGTGAAGACGCAATGTCATCAAGAACTGCTGCCTGCAAACAGAATGTAAGAAATGAAAGGTATATAGATTTTTTAAAGCCACATAGTAGTCATTGTCCATGTGTATTGCATCATAATTTGCACTTAGAAACATTGTATTAAGCGCTTTATAAATATAATGCATTATTATTTTTATAATAATTTACTGACATCAGAATGATCAGATTTGGTTGAATTACCAATTAATGTGTGCTCAGGTCTCTCGGGTAGCAAACCCAAGACACAAGACCTGCCAGTCGTAAAAGTGAAGTCCACTCTTGGTAACTGAACACCCGAATGCTGTCCAATTTCGATTCCAATTCCTGAATATGCTTAAATTGTTTATTACATTCTTAATTTTATAATACTTGGTAACGTATGGAACACCAACCCATCAAATACCTTGGATTTGCAAACAATAACACCAATTTAAAAAAAATTATCACATAGAAATAAATTTCCTTTTGCGCAGAAAAAGTAATTAGAAAATCATTACCCCACAGCTCCAAAAGCCACAATCAGTACAAATTTGATTTTTGGAATTAAAAAATACTGGTCCACTTAACTTGTGGTCAAGAGAGACCACAGATGGATGGAAATATGCATATACTACACATGACTCATTATTTATAACTGAGGCTCTATCAAGAAAAAAAGCATGGAAAGATTAGGGAAGGAAGAGAGAGCGAGGGGGGGGGGGGGTGAGAGACAGAGATAATGGGTGGGAGGGTTCACAGAGTATCAATAAGAACATCTCCCTTCATCACAACTCACCACTCTCCCATCTCTGAGATCAAACTCGCTGCCCCACTGAATATTATCCAGGTTTGCACTCAGCTCGGCCAGGCAGCCGACGACCAGCGGGAAGAGATCTTTGACCTGGGGGTGAAAGGTCGCCTCTACCCTCAGGAAGTCTCCGACCAGGGGCTGCTGGAGCCGGTTGATGAGCTCCTTCTTTCCCTGCAGGATCCGCTGGAGATGGCTGCTTAAGGTGTTCAGACTGGAGATCTTTGACTCTGAAAAATATATGATCACACAAAAGAAATACTATTCATCAATTTGCATGAAACAGTTGAAACACTACACTGCTGTGTATGCAGTTTCAAGATATTTTTGCTGCTGTATTGCTTTCTTTTCACTTTCCCCCCATTTTGTGTGTGTTTCACATCCTTTTTCATATTGCATTGTCATCAGTCTTTCCAATTTTTTAGTAAACATTGTGATTGTAATTGATTTCATTTGAATAAATACATAAATAAAAAATAAAGCCTTAAGAGGAACTGGTGTTCCTTTATGAAAACAATTGCACAGTATTCATTACTCACAAATTGATATGGTATAATATGATTGTAAAACATATCAGGAAATCAGGAATTAATTCCTTGATATATATGCTAGAGCGTCGTAATGACAGTTTTGCTAAAGCCAGGGTAATAATCGGGCAGGGCCAGGACCGTCATGACGGGGCAGACATGTGTGCTATATAAGAAGCCATCATTATTATTACCATTATTATATCTGGCCGCTTGTTTTTCTTTTATGCCAATTTTATATAACGTGAGGCTGTAACATCCGAGAATGATGTGAAACTTACCCAGTATGTCAAGGTGAGTAAGATCCCTTGTCTCTTTATCCATCAGTCTACATTGGATTTCAACATTCACCTAGTGAACAAAATACAAAGAAAGTAAACAACCTGCAGAAATCATTGTGTGCATGTACTGCACATAGACTTATTCTGTTTCAATGAAACATTTTATCGTAATTATTGGCTGTGCTAGAATACACAATTTTTAAAATGTAAGTTTCAAGTGATTAAGGCATTTAAAAAAAGTCTCTTCGTCTCACCTTTATTTTGTGTGTGCGAAGAATAAGTGTGTTAAGTAGACTCAAGCTTTTTTTGGCCCCGTTGAAGGGATGATATTGAGACTATTGCTTGGAAAAACAACATGCAACAGCAAAAAATATCAGTGCAATATCTTCGTTTTTGGACATGATTTTGACCATAAATTATAACTGGATATAGATCTATCAGAAGTTCTCCCTTTTGTCCACTAAAGGTAGGATTGTGATTTTTTGAGAGTTAAATTCATGACATCAGTAAGTATTTTAAATGTTTTAAAAATTTCCCCCATTTATTCCCTACAATAAATAAAGCCGTCATGCATTTTGACAACTAGCTTTAACTCACGCCTACAATGAACGAGGATAACCATATAACGGTAATTAACCACAAACGGTATTGACTGGTCACTTGTGTGACCAATCAAACTCACTATTTGGAAATATAACTAAGATTAGACAGCACAAACCTGATCAAGGTGTCTTTTCTTTTCCGATATCTCCCTTAGCTGCTGAATGAGTCTCAGGGATGCAGACTGCCTTTGAAGTTGTTCAGCTATTTCTTTCACCTCTTCATCTCTCCTCTGCATTCAAGAAAGAAAAAAAAAAAGAAGGTCATTAGACTCTACTATTCTAGCTAGACCCTAGCCAGGTAGAGTCTATACTCGTATTTAATGACAATGATTTTTATTTCTCTAATGACTCTTTCTGGGGCATGGAAGAACTACAATAGAAAAGTACAAGTATAATGTTCAACAAAGATATTAAAATTTTTTAAAAATCTTAATTTTTAAAAACAAGAAAATCTTTGGCAGTGAACAACAAACAAATGAAAGCAGATAGACTCTAACTGTAGTGTTAGGTCTAGAGTCTACTAACGTTAGAATAGACTAATAGATATCAACATTTTTTTATTAAGTTAAAACAAGTTCGACATTGTTGACCTTTAATGTGACATTCACAAAACTTTCGCCAAAGGTCTAAACAAACTAACAAAGTAAAAATTCTGACAACTGCAAAAATGCCGAGTGTTGAAAAATAGAAAATGGTTAGCATACGAAAGAGTAAGCATGTGGGACTGAATGTGACCATACAGAACACATACATGTACATACCATTCGGAGATGTCCCGTTTTCTCTGCAAAACGAATAATACTAGAAGCGGCTGATGTCGAATGTACATCTGAAGCCCAAGGGTTAATACTTCTGTTCGATTTGCTGTTAGATAAGTCATCCATTTTTAAAAGAAACTTGATAGAAGTTTAGGCTTACAGGGTTCTGCTTCGATTTCCAATATTCCGCTTTACAACTTGCGCATGCGCGCGAACACTATTACTAAGTTTACAAACAAGTAAAATCTGGGGCCGGGCCCGTTCTAGAAACGGTCATAAGTCTAATTTCTTGACTATATCCCATTCAAACGCGTGTTAATTCTATAATTCTATTTGAGCGCGTTGATATCTCATTAAAGGGAATTTTAAAAGGCAGTTCTGAATATATACGGGGCTAGGTCAAAAAAGTGAAATGTTGGAAAAATAGATGAGGGAATATATGAAGAATTGTAATGTGGTCACGTGCACCATTATGCATCAATCAGATGAAAGGGATATTATCATGTTTTTTTCTTGGAAGATGAATATGGCTGGGATTATGTCCCCTCCCCCCCCCCCCCCATTTTTGTATTGTTTTTAATTGGCATTGTTTTGTATATAATGGTTTGTAAACTTTGTACTGATGTGCATGGAGAGAGTTTGTTTCCGCTGCTTTTTATAGAGGATTGAGTGTAGTGGATTGGGAAACTGACAATCGTATACAGTAAACTGTTAATGCATTTAACACAATGACTGTCTCACAATCAGTCCACTATAATTAAAAAACAACCAAAAAAATTCCACACAAAGAGTGAAAACAATTTCGTTCTGTTGTAATGGAGAAGCAATCGCAAATGTGTGTGTAAATTTCGAGATTATTGAAGAATTACTAGAAGGGCCACTATAAGCTCCACACTGACTGGGATTAACGCCCAGAATGATGGGGAGCTAGGATGTATCCAAAACCAATGAAATGAGGATTGTGGTTTTTTACCCGTCTTGGTTTTGTTGTATAGGAATGTTTTTTGTTTGTTTTGTTTAGTTGAGTTAAGTTTAGTTTATACTTTTAAATTAGTTTAGTTTAGTTTAGTTGAGTTGGGTTGGGTTGAGTTGGGTTGAGTTGGGTTGAGTTGAGTTGACTTGATCGAGTTGAGTCGAGTTGAATTGAGTTTTGTTTTTCATACAGTACGTATATTCACGGTAAACTCAATTTAATAGACAACTATCAGACACATGTTTTTGTGACATCGAAAGCCGTCTTCAACTTCCACCGGGGCTACGTACGTTCCTACTAGAAGCATTATAATATCGGAAAGATGATTTTTTTTTTCTTTCACAGCACCTAGCTTCGCTACCATATTTCCTTTCCCCCTCCCTATTCTTCCTATTCTTTGAATAAATAACATTTCTCTTTTGATATGTTACCTATATATATATATAGACTTGATTCATGTGTTTTTGTTTATCGTATGTGTTAAATATGGAAATTCAATTGTAACTTTGTTTATGCAAAATTTTACCTGTAAATTTTGTTCAGCTATTTTTTATTTAACAAAAAAATGAAATATGAATATTTTATGAAACAAAAGAATGTAAACTTATAATGAAAACAAACCAACTGACTTCATGACAGAGAGAGATCGAGAGTGAAAGAATGAGAAAATGTGCTGAAAATTTAACTACATTCCTAGTGGTGTCACTATAATTATTGACTTTGTGTGTGCATAATAGTTCGATATTTCGCAAAACAATCGGTAATTTTCGGGTAAGTTCGTGAACAATTTTTGTCTCTAAAGAAAGGGATGTCAAATAGAGCCATGTGTTTCATAAAGGAACCGGCGACTCGTATAACATTGGACAACTTTTTGTGACTTTGTACTTGCTAGGCCTAAACGAGGGTCACCACTACTACTGGGCCAGAAGGGATTAGATCACACAGCGAGGTCACTGACAGGTGGCTATCTCATTAACTTAGCTCTCCACTCACAAAATAAAAAGAGGATCATGGGGGACTAACAGGCACCGATTTGGGAAGTTTTCTATATAGAGAGAGCCAGTAGCTACAAGTAGGACAGTGAGGCTTTAAGCTACACCTTTAGTACCCTTTTTTAAGCCAAAAATTAGGGGTCTTATTTTTTTGAAAATATTCTGAAATTGGGGATACTATTCAACTCCGCCAACGATCATGCGTTACCATTTAGTATGAACAGGCGCGTAGCCAGAGTTCGACGTTTGGGGGGGCACATACATGTAATCGATCGAGGTAAAAAAAAGGGGTCTAAAAAAGTTCAACCGATCTTGGAAATTTTAGGGGGGGCACGTGCCCCCCGTGCCCCCCCCGTGGCTACGCGCCTGAGTATGAAGCGACACCACAGAAGTTAGAACTGAACATTCCTTTTTTCAATATTCTGTGAGTGACACCATCGGGAATACATTTTAATTCTTTGAGTCACAGTGCCATTTATATCTGAAGATGTATTTTCTTTAATTCGGGTGATAAATGGCCGGCTCATTATTATCGGCAGTTTAATACAGAAGAGAAATCATCTAAGTAGTTTTAGATTGTTTTGTTTTTAATCTTTTAACGTGTGAAGTGTCGTTAGAGGTTATTGTGACGTTTTACCGTACGCGCTCATTGGCTCCAGACTTCCTGCATTCTGATTGGCCGAAAGTTTACTTCTGTACGTGACGACACAATGGTTGGCATATGCGCAATGGATTTTCTCTCTATGAATTAAACAAATCGGGAATCTAATACATGATTGTATGCGTCATCAGAATAATCCCAAGCTTCGGAATATGCATGTGTTTCTCTATAAAGGTTGGGAAATCGAGTAATTTCATCATTTTTTTTTTTTTACAATTGCAGTCGCTGAGCTTCCCGCCATGGACTATTGTTCTGTAAGCAGGTAAGTTACTTGCCTTGATGGAATTTAATGAGATTACATTCTAAACAATCTCTGATAAAAATGCCGGTAAAGGTGTGTGTGTGTGGGGGGGGGGGGGTGGCACTTTTTTGTTAATTAAGACAATCTCGTGGACAAAATGGTAATTTGATGTAAGAATACCTTAGCATCAATGCTGCGCAAATGTTAATTTTATTCAGACGGGTTATTATCTAAGAGCAGTATGGGACTTGATGAGTGGATGGATGTTGATTCTAATTAAGTGGTTCGTTTATAAATAGTAGTCATACCTATAAAAAATAGAAGACAAAACAAAAGACATTGTGATATTCAAAACTAAATCTGAAAAACGAACCAAATACTAAGTATGTACGTGTATTCCTTGGGTGATCCAAAAACATTCCCACGAAGAGACCGTCAAATATATTTATAATCTGGGCCCGTTGCATAAAACTTGCAATTGATGGTAACTTTGCCATCAATGGTAACTACCATGGAAACCTTGATTTTGATTGGCTGCTGAACCCTGTTACCATGGTAGTTGGCATTGATTGCAAAGTTACCATCAATGGTAAGTATTATGCAACAGGGCCCAGGGCACTCCTTAGGTGGAGGGGCTGACCCCATTAAAGTGGCGACAATTCTTTTAATGAAAGTGTGCGAAAGATTTTCCGCTTGAACACATTCCCCACCCCAAGATTTCAGAGTTTCATGAGCTCATTTATTGTTAAACATATATGTACTACTAATTACAGTCTATACAGTACTTCAGGTATTAATCTTATCTTTCGTTATTAAAACAAATATATTATTATCATTTCAAAAGATTATTATTGTTAAAGTAAAAACACAACACAGGACTCAATAATAAAACAAGCAAAAAGAAACACAAAATAAAACGTTCACTTGAATAAATATTTATTCTATTCAATTGCAGGTTATTATAGTCTAATCGACAGTAGGGATTGCAATCCATTTTGTACCGAATGGTCGTATGTTTTTTGCTGCACAAAGATTCAATCAGTTTAATTTTGGCCATTACAAGAAGTGGTTTATTAATGTAGAAAAATGCTCCTGTACCCTGTACAGCTCATTTTATGTATGTTATTACCAAAGAAAAAAAGAAGTCAGTCACTCACTCAATAGTGTCTGACAGTGAAGTCTAGAAAGTAAACAGGTTTTCTTGCATAATTTGAATACTAGGACACTACTAACGTTTCAATTTCATAGATACATGACATATTCATAATTCCTGCAAAGTTCTACAGCATTAGATTTTGGCTGCAAAAGGGATACAGTACCTTTAAAACAGAATCTACTTTTACAAACATTTCAACAATGTCATACTATCATTTTGGGCAGTGTACACATATATACGTATTTGCAAAGTGTTTCACATTTTATCGTATTGTTAGTTTTATACAAGTTTGGGGCAGTGTTTTACAAAGATTTTGGGTAAAGTCTTAATACAAACTAGATGGAACTTCGACTGCGTGCAGTCGAAAATGATGCCTCCGTCATAGAGCAATTTTACAAACCAAAACAGAAGAAATTTTTAAAATTCCAGTTCAATTGTAATCCATTAACAGGTTCTCAGAATATCGTGATTACAAGCAATTTCTCATATACATATATGACCCTTTGATCTTTGACCTCATGACCCTAAAATCTACTCAGTTCATTGGCTCTGCAAGATGTCCTGAGTTAAATAGTAATCCATCTGTCAGTTCTAATGAGAATGCGTTCACAAGCTATTTTTGCATACATAATGAGCCTATGACCTTTGACCTTATGAACCAAGAATCTACTCAGTTTATTGGCTCTGCAAGATACATAAATGAAGTTTGGCAGGAATCCATCAATCTGTTCTAATGATTGTATGATCACAAGCTATTTTTTGCATAAATAATGTGCCCTGTGACCTTTGACCTCGTGACCCCAAAATCTAATCAGTTCATCGGCTCTGCAAGTAACAGACATGACCAAAGTTTGGCAGGAATCCATCAATCGGTTCTTCGGATAACGCGATCGCAAGCTTTATTTGCATACATAATGAGCCCTGTGACCTTTGACCTTGTGACCCCGAAATCTAATCAGTTCATGGGCTCTGCAAGATACATACATGACCAAAGTTTAGCAGGAATCCATCAATCGGTTCTTCAGATAACGCGATCACGAGAACGGGACGTACATACGTACGGAAGGACAACCCGAAAACATAATGCCTCCGGCTACTTCGTAACGGAGGCATAAAAAGGGACAGTATTACAACTTCAGAGCATTACTGATCACATCTAGTAGCTGCAGGAAGAAATTTAAAAAAATAGATGATCTACTGGTAGATATTTCTCTATCATCAGCATTATAACATTTTCAAAAATACATTGCAAAAAAAATGTAATTTCTTTCTTCAACGAAGATGCATTTTAAATACCACTTCATGGATTATCAGTGAACATGTGGAAAGATAATATAAAAAGATGATTTAAAGTCAATTGCATAGCTATGGTATGGGGAGGGGGCCAAAATAAAGGAAAAAGAAAGAAAGGAGAAATTGACCAGGATATGGGGATATATGAATAAACAGGAAATAGCTGAACTATGCTATGCCACTAAGTTGACTTTTGACTAAACTGTGAAGTCAATTCCTATTTGATCATACACATCTAAATGACCAACATCACTTTTACAGTAAGTTATGTTCACCAAATGTATATTTTAAAGAAAAATCAAACACACTTACAGTAGCAGAGAATTATTTAAATAAAGCGACAAAATAGTGGAACCATTTCCCTTGTTTGAAAAAGAATTTGGTTTACTTTCAATATCAACAATAAAATTGAGCTGCACACGTAATTCATAGCATTACATTTTCTTCTAGAATATCAAGTTACTAAAAACTCCATGTTAAAAAATCTTCATTGAGCACAATCAAAACGATTAGTCCATATACAACATAATTCATGAGGATGATGGGCAGGTATTTGTCAAAAATATAGTTACAATTCATATAAAAGTATGCAAAATTTACATTGCTTTCATGATAGAATATATACCGTCAACAGCATTTTCACATGGTAGTAAGATTTGCACAATTCCACATTTTACTTCAATACGGAAGCAAGCGGGGGAAAAACAAGGGGGGAAAAAAGGAGGAAAATGGTACTATTTGATTTTAGTGCTCCTATATAATCACCCTACAATCCATCACAGCACTTTAATAGCCATGCTATGCAAAATTATAGCAAAAATGCCTTTGTAACTTTCTTCCTACCTGTGCGGAATTGCACATACACTGACATATATCCATTGTATTTGATCATTACCGTATGTCTCATACAGTATAACGTAAAGTAATATTTAAATCAAATTAAACATTGGAAGCTAGTTAGTACTTCTTGACATTTGGCATGGTGCATGCTCTAGAATCTTTATCATTTTGAATACAATCATCGGATAAATTACAATCTTTGCTGTGATTAGCAATTTGGTCTTGCCACCTTGTTTATGAATGTATCACCGATAAAATTCAAAACATAATTCCAACAGCAGTGCCTCATGTTATTCAAAATGAATTAGCGATTCTTCGATTTCAAGTGCTTAGACCAACAACAAAAAAGTGTAAAAACAATGTAAAGATATAAGGGTAATCTTAAACTGCTTCCAGCACAAAAATTGTATACAAGATGTTATATTCATGACACAAATAGTTGTACTTTAATATACACGACAAACCTTTAACCAATTTCAAGCTATTATCAGAAATATCCTGAACACAACTAATTAAATGTTAAAATATATTTTCTTTAAAATACATGAGCCATCAAAAATGTTTAAAAAAATGACTCAAACTTGAAATATAAAATTATATGACATATATTGCTGTTCCTTTATTTCCATCTTCATATAAAGACCATACCGGTAGGTCATTACAATATCAAAAATGTAATAAAAACTACATGCAATCATACAAATTTATGCAAATATAATTTATGTGAAAAGTTACATAAAAATTCATTTCAAACAGTATCAAAGAGACAAGCCAAGTCGAAAAATCAAAAAAGGGAAACTAAAATAAGTTGATGTCATTTTTTTTTTCCAACTTATTCTGTTACTGACATTTTGTAGAGGGAAAAAAGAAAAAAAAGGACAAAGGAAAAAAAAAAAAAGGACAAAGGAAAAAAAAAAAAACGGACCAAACAAAATAATCTTAATTTTCTTGTAGAACACTGTTTTTTCTACAAACTGATACCAAAATCATCAATATGCTTATAAATTTACAGTTTATCTAAAAAAAGATCGTAATTTAGCAAATCTTCATTGATATTTATGCTAGTACTGTAACAAAGGCGTTTTTAGTTATTGCGCAAAGGCCGCACCCAGACTTTTTGATATACGGTAGAACAACTAAAACATAATGCCTCCGGCTACTTCGTTGCAAAGGCATGAAAAGATTTATCCTTACTTTAATACATGACTAACAAAATTGAAAAATTTGATAAAAAGTTTGAATTCATGCCCTTGTGTTGGGCACACAGCAATTCACCCGGAGTTACTCAGAGATCCTCCCACTGTCCCATACAAAATGATGCGCCTTTGGAGACCTTTCGACTCGATACCATATCAGGGTTTGGAATCACTTTGACCTCTGACCTGACCTCTCGCGGGTGAATGCGCCTCGAAGCATCTTCTCCAGGTTGCCGACAGGGAACTCTATGGTAAGGGTTACCAGTAAGGCCAGGACATGAGCCAGGAATAGGAACGATGCAAACATGTAGACCTGTGTGTGCATGAGTAGGATGTAAAAGAGGGGGCATGCTTATCATTTATGTGCCATAATTATCAATACCGGTAGGCATGCTAACTCTTCATGTACCATAATATTTGTAAACGGTCAATAGAGACGGTATTTTATATAATTAAAGCACCATATCAATCTAGATTGTTATCATTATCATTATAATTTCACATTTGATACTAGTGTTGGTCTTTTTCTGCTAAAACAAGATCTTACATAAAAAAAAAAAGTGTTTCTAAGAGTGTACAGTTACATCAAGTTCATTTCACTCCATTACGATTTCTAAGATGAAACTAATGAAAATACATAGCCTAACAGTAGTATAAGATCTTTAGATTAGTCTTATTGTTGATTACATCCATTGTTTGTACCGATCATTTGTGGAAACCTGCAAAAGCTTAATCTTTCTTTCATCTCAGAAAATCAACTTAGTCTGTGCTTCAAATAAGTAATCTTTTTATGTTTTTATTGAAGAAAAAAAAATACATAAAGACAACAAAATAACATAGGGCATATTGCAACAAACACTATAAGGTGTTGAACCTAAAATATAAACTTATTAAAATAACTGCCGAGCTTGTCAGTTTTAAGGCAACATCATACTCAGTCAATTTTCCCCTTTTCATTACAAAAAAAATATTCACAGAAGTTGAAATGGACAAGGCAAAATTTGGCAAAGTCAAAAAGGAATTGCAAGTCAAAATTTGGAAAAATATGTCTCCATTTCATACTCTGAATTGAAGTTAGATAGCACTGTCAATGTATACTTTCTCAAATCACTCATACTGCCCACCAAGTCTCAAAATCAAACAAGATTGCAATTTAATAGCAGATGATCAGTTAAGGTTAATAGCCCATTAACTTCTGAATTCTTTCACCCCCATAGACTTAATACAGCAACTATCAAGTTCCTGTAGACAATGAATTAACATATTATTATACAACACCTACGTGGATCCCTGTCATTTGATTGGAGGATTTTTGGTCACATGATATTCAATAGATGGTATATTGCACGGTCGTGCATTTTTGGTTATATGCAGACTGCGTACCTCTCTGCCGTGCGCGCGCGTATCCCTGCGTGTATCTGACGCGAAGGCAATCTAAATGTAATCGAGAAGGCTTGAATCCAACTAGAATTTATCTTTAATATAAGGAGTAAAGCATAATTTGTTGATTAACGTTCTATTAGATCTTCTTCGATGTTGTATAAAACAAATAATGAATGTTTTTCATTCGTTCAATGGTTCGAATATTTTCATTCGTTGAAAGATTAACATTAATTCTATTCAACTCGTCTGACGCCTCGTTGAATAGAATGTTAATCTTTCAACTCATGAAAATATTCACACTATTGAACTCATAACCATTTATTATTTGTATATTATTTAAAAAAAAAAATTGTATTCAGCACTTACTTGGTTAATCATAGACCAATGAAAAGGCACAGCCTGAGCAAAGCTATAGACGTAAATGACAACAGGATGAAAGAGGTATGTTGAGTATGTGAGCCGACTTAAAGGGACCCAGAAAGACCAGCTCAAGAAGTCATTGATGAAGCCTGCATAATAAACAAAAATAATATCATAATAGCTACTCTTATACAAGAAAGAATTATTAATATTTTTGCAAATTTTGCAAACCACTCATTGTTCTCATACTTTACAGCATGCCAAGCTTTTAATGTCGCATGTCTTTGAAATGCTAGAGCGCCGTAATGGCAGCACAGCTAAAGCCGGGGTAATAATCTCCAAGTTTGGAAGCACTTAGTGATTGTAATAAGCGCTATATAAAATCTGAGTACTATTATTATTATTATTATTATTATGTTAAAATCACTAAATTGACTGGGTCATACAGAACAGTCTGAGCCCACGCTGATAGTAATATGACACTCTGATTGATTATTTTCATTTATTTCTGTCAATTAATTTAACTACAATTCCATTCAATTCATCATTTATTTCAATTATAAAACCATAAAGTAATACATACAAAAGTAACATGAAACAATCATAATCTTACAATTCTGGAAATCATGAAGAAATTGGAGATAAAAAGGGAAGTTTGAAAAACTTGTTAGCAATAGTCCCCCGACATAAATAATAAATGACAAGATTACATGGTTGGACATGTTACCAAAACAATAAATATATATATATCTAATAAGATACTACACATTATAGTTTAACAATGAACATACACACACACACCATACACACACGTGCGGTACATTGAAAGGTAAAAACGGTTAACGAAAAAATAAAGGGAAGAACCTTAAATGATGACAGAGTAGTGCATAATGTTAGTTTATCAGTTAAATCAGTCCAAATACTGGGACCATTATGTCAAAAAGAGTAAAGCATTAACTGGGTAGAGATCTTTGAATAATGATAATGATAACAAGTATTATATGAATGAACAGTTTATTAAGGATAAACATTTGACAAACTCTTTTAAGTACATACTTATTATAGACATTATACATCATAATAGCACTTGAATGTTATGTATATCATAAATATTGAGTGCTTTCAAGAGAAATAACAGGGGACGTGAGTGAATGAGCTTGATAATAGGAGTTCGTACAAATTCTTAAAGCTTTCTTTTGAAGTTTATAGAGAGGTTCTAGTTTAGTTGTCTCCACACCATAGTACAGTAATGTAAATAAGGCAAAATCAAACAATTGTACAACATAAACAATACTTTTTCAGGCAGAAATACACATAATTTACAAAGAACACTAATGTTTTTAGATATTTTGTTAGTTATATACAATCAATGATCCTGAAAAGATAAAGTGTCATCCAAAAGGATACCAAGAAATTTAACAGAAGAGCAATATTACAAGGATTAGTTTTTTATATTGAGAAACAGTCAGAAGATTATTTGTATTAATATGATCAAAAAGTCTATTGTAAATTAACTTCTCCAGTATCTCAGAGAAACAGTGCAGTACTGTTATAGGTCGATAATTAGAGAATATGCGGGGTCACCTTTTTCAAATATGGGTATGATTTTCCTTACCTTAAAATTCTTGGGGACTTTTCCGGACAAAAAGGAGAGATTGCATATACAAATAATTGGTTTCACAATACAATACAACTCAATACAATAAAGTCATTTCTATAGCGCTCTTACAAACTAACTGTTGTTTCACAGCGCTTTACATAAAAGTTATCAAAGAATCTATTGTTCATCATGGTCAAAGAGGAGAGTTTTAGACATTTTCGGAAGACACCCAGCAAAGGTGCTAATCGAATAAAACGTGGAAGCTCATGCCAGAGTCGAGGAGCGCATGCATGGAAAGCATTGTCACCAGCTTTGGTATACAATGAATTTAATGAAATGTATGTCATGTTTTATTATGTACTGACTGATTCCTTGAATTGAGCAATTTGACAATGTTTAAAACTTCTGTTTCATTGGTAGGGTGAACAAATTTTGATTTGTTACAAGAATCTCGTAAAAATGAACTAAAATTGCATTTAGATTTCTGAATATGTTTAGATTTTAGTTTTGTAGCAATACTAGAAAAACAATCAATTGACAATCGGTTAACTTGTTCTTACCTTTAAGAAAATAATTACTGGTAGGATATTAGCATTTTCTTCTCTTTCCTTATAAATCATTTAGTTTTAGACATATTATTTCTATTCTTCAAAATAATAATAAATCAAAAAAATATTTTTTTCTTACAGGCTGTAAAATTGAGTTTAAAGGGACTTGGTACCATTGTTCAGATGAGAGGTACAAAGTAGTGGTACCAAGGTAGTGACTTCAATGCTACATGTACAATTAAAGATAATCTGAAAATTTGAGTGAAAACGGACCATATTTATTCATGGTTAAAATTGGGAAAAATTGATCTGATCAATTCCTTAATTCTCCCAACAATAATCTTACAATTTTATTACATTTTAGGTGAATGTAAATCGTCACAAAGCAATAAAATGACTCTACATTCCATTCCAGACATTTAAGTGTTGACATATTTTTCATAGCCTGTTTTATGTCTTTTTTTTCGTGGACAAACGGTTGGGAAAATTCAAAAATGGTTGGGAGAATTTACTGTTAATCACTTTTAGAGGGTGTGTCATACTTTAACGCCTTTAAAGGAAACCATAGATATCTTCGTGGTTAGAGAATTTTTTCTGGATTTTTTGCATGTCAGAGGGTTAGTACAGTAGAAGGAATATAGTACAAAAATTCAGCAATTTTTTCATCAACTTTCAACAATGTTACCAAGTCACTTTAATTTATTTCTACATTTTTTATATCTACATTCACTGCTGTTGTTTCTTTTCTGACAAAATGTTTTATATAACCTATAATTTTTATTAATTCATTTTAACAGTGAAGGGGTTATCCAAGGTTTTGTGGCAGTTTCCTTTTCTTCACTTTACGAACAACAAAGTTATGATCATACACGGTTTTAAATGTGTTTAGAAATAAATTATAGGCTTCATCTGCATCACAAGAAAACTAGATTGACCTTGGACTGCGCGCATTCGAAAATGATGCCTCCACCATGGAGCAATTTTACAAACCAATACAGAAGTAATTTGTAAAATTCAAGTTTGATTGTAAACCATTAAAAAAATCTCAGAATATTGTGATTACAAGCAATTTTTCATATACATGTTTGACCCTTTGATCTTTGACCTCATGACCCTAAAATATAATCAATTCATTAGCTCTGCAACATACATACAAGTCTTGAGTTTGATAGTAACCCATCCGTCGGTTCTATTGATAATACGTTCACAAGCTATTTTTGCATAAATAATGAGCCCCATGACCTTTGACCTCATGACCCAATATTGAATCAGTTCATTGGCTCTGCAAGATACATACATGACCCAAGTTTGGCGGTAATCCATCAATCGTGTCTTGAGATAATGCAATCACGAGCTATTTTTGCATACATAATGAGCCCCGAGACTTTTGACATTTAACCTTGTGTCTCCAAAATCCATCAATGGGTTCTTGAGATAACGCGATCACAAGCTATTTTTGCACACATAATGAGCCATGTGACCTTTGACCTTGGATCCCATGACCCCAAAATCTAATCAGTTCATTGGCTCTGCAAGATACATACATGACCCAACAAGTTTGGCAGAAATCCATCAATCGGTTCATCGATGGACATATCATTGAGCAGGTCAGTAATTATATGTACATCTACTTGGGATAAAATATCACAGATGATGCCAGATGCGAAGCAGAAATAAAAAGAACACTAGAAATTGCTCGTAATACATTTCTGGCAATGAAAAACTTATTTACAGATAGAAAGGTGAAATTTGCACTTAGGTTGAGACTATTGTATGGAGCAGAAACATGGACAATAAGCAAGGCCATGGAAAATAGAATAACATCTTTTGAAATGTAGGTCTACAGAAGAATGATGAAAATATCCTGGAAACAAAAGAAAACCAACAAAGATATGTCTCATGGCAGGGCGTAAACAAATTGCACTGGTAGGATTAGTCAAGGAGATAAAACTCGAATACTTTGGTCATGTTAAAAGACACCAAAACCTCTTAAAGGATGTATTAAAGGGAAGGGTGGAAAGTACTAGACCAAGAGGGAGACCCAGAATCAACTGGGAAGAGAATGTCAAGAACTGGAGTGGACTAAAATTGCAAGAGTGCACCAGAATGGCATGGGATAGAGTAAAATGGAGAGATGTTGCAATGAACCTTCAAACCGGGAGAAAATACTTAGATAGATAGAGATAGACTTTGTAGCAGAGGCATTCCATTCTAAACTCTCAGTGAACAGCACAACATCTTGCTGAGTAGACTATTAATAGGGCGCACAGGGGAACCAAGTCTGACTTGGGTTCTGTGCGTGCCCTATATGTAGGGTTCTATGTTATCCTTTATTTTCTTTGTAACCCTTATTAACAGTTAAACCGTTTACCAAAAGAATGCAAGGTAAAGTTTTTTGAGGTTGGTTTTGCCAACTATACACAAATTATTTTTTCAGGCGATTGGTATGCTTTAAAGCTGAAATAAGGATTTATGGCAGGTCTCAACTGGGAAAGCCACAAAGGCTTATATTCTATTGATAAGCTAAACCTGACTCTTGGTTTAAGCAAAGTCCAAGATGTGTTTGACATAGAGGCAGCTTCCTTTTTTTTATTAGACTTAACTTCAGATCAAAGAGTTCACTCACCCCCGTAACCATAGTGACATGCAAACACCACCCAGCAGAGTGCAATAGCCCATGTAAAGGTAGAGAAGCTGTTATAAGCAATGCTGGTAGCCATGGTTGGTGTAGATGCCCCTCTGTTAATATCGTATAGACCATAGACTACCGCCATCCCGAGACCCCCTGCGATGGCCCATCCTGCAGCTGCAAATACCTGGTACGGAGAATGAAATAAATGAAAGACGATGCTAATAATATTTATTTATTTTTATTTTTTTCATATTTTTTCCCTCCACAGGGATTTTATTGATTTTCATTTGAAACACATACAAAAATATATATTTAAGGTAATTTACATTATAACATAAATAAAATTGGCTTTTCAAGATACAAGTATTGTTGAACTGTTGAGTTAACATAAAACTAACAAATCAATAATTCATTTCTGACACTCATGGAAAGAAAAACAAATACAGAAAAAAATATCATTTTAAGTAAAAAAATTCCTGAATTGAAACCATTTTCTTGTGAATTTATCATTTCTTCAATTCGAATTTGCATTATACTTCTCGTTTTTGAAGTAATTTATAATCGAAACTCTTATATTATCAAAGTCGGGCAATTGTTTCTTTATTTTGCAAGTATACACCATCTGTCACACCACAATCAGTATTCAATTCAATGCATAATTATTTAAACCTTTTAAACCAAATAATTTATCTTGTAATGAAAATGTTAATTTATTTCCGGTTCCAGTATTAATCCAGTGTTCTAACCTACCTCAAATATTTTTAACATGCGTACAATTACATAGCAGATGTATAACTGTTTCAATCTGTTCATTACAAAAAGTACATTCTTTTCTTGGGACTAAATTCATTTTAAACAGTAGATCGTTTGTATATAAGACTTTAAACTGAAACCATCGTAAGCCCACATCAATGGTACAATTAAATCCAATAGAACAATATGTTTCCCAACTCTTATCATTCAGGTCGAAAATGCATTTCCATTTAAGAAAACTTTTACATACCGGTAGTCCTTTTCTTCTCTTTTATAAAATTGCATAGATATGTAAACATCCTTTAATACGTTTCATAACAAATGCTATTGTATCTGGGAAAAGAGGTTGTGGCACCTTGTTAAAAATAGTACAATTGTTAAACCCTTGTCTAATTGCATCACATAATCCACGATAAAAAAGAAAATTTATTTGAATATTAAACTTTTCTTGAAAGTGTTCCAGAGAGAAAAAAAAATCACCATTTGTGTCTAAAATATCATTGACAAAACAAACTCCCTTTTGACACAATTTTTTTATTATATATTGAGCTATTGCCTATTTTAATGTAATCATTATTCCATAAGGGTTGGCAAGAAATGTTATCATAATGCATGGACAAGAGCGTACTATAAGCCATGAACATTTCTTTCCAAAAAAGGTTAGTTTTACCTGCCAGTTCCCGAAAATAATTGTTTCCCATATATAATTTTAAATCTTGCCGTTCAGGCAAGAAAGATTGCAAAAGACAGAGGATATTGCTATCTATTGAGCCAATTACTAATCTCTTAATCCAGGAAATTTTTAATGATTGGCAATGTGTGTATATATCTATCATTTTAACCCCTCCGTCTGAGTAACTTTGTGACATTTGATTTCTACTTATTTTATCAGGTTTCTCCCCCCATATAAATCTATAAAAGTGAGCATTTATATCTTTCAAAAGATTTTCACCAGGATTAGGGAGGGACAAAAAAAGGTAGTTTAATTTGGATACCAACAATGAATTGACGGCAGTGATTCTTCCAAGAACAGTTAAGTATCGCCTTTACTACGATGTCATTTGACTTTTGATTTCTTTAAATTTTTCATTATAATTGTGAATTATCAATTTGGGCAAATCCGTACAAAAGTCTATACCTAAATATCTGAAATAATCATCAAATACCCAATTTAGATTTCTATTCAAAACACCATCTTTCTTGTTTTTAAATCCTCCAATCCAAATCGCATGTGTCTTCTGTATAATAACTTTTAAACCAGACATTGCATTATATTTATCTAAAATGTTTAATGCACTGTTTAATTCCATTACTGACCCCTTCAATGTTAGAAGAGTATCGTTTGCATATTGAATTATTTTAAGTTGTCTACCAGGTAAGCTCAAACCAACAATGGAACAGAATTTCTAAACAAAAGACCTAGTATTTCGGCACATAACAGAAAGATAAGAGCTGACATGGGATCTCCTTGACGACAACCTGACTCTATTGAAAATCTTGGAGACAGGTGTCCAACTGTCCATTGATTAATACACAGGATTGAGCATTTTCATAGAATACATTAACCCATTTTACAATAGAGGGACCAAACTTAAAAAAGTGCAATACTTTTCTAATAAAATCATGAGAAATAGAATCAAATGCAAAATCTATAAGCAGCAATAAACCGGGAATGTCATTGATATCAGTATACAATAATAAATCATATAACAAATGGATATTCTCTCCAATGAAGCGCCCTGACATAAAGCCTTTCTGATTTTCATGTATAAGAAAAGGAAGTACGTTCTTTAATCTGTTTGCTATACAAGCGGAACCTAATTTATATACCAATTTCAATAAATCTCCCCAAAATCGTTTTATAGAAGCTTCTTCCTCAGGTACAAAATGTGTATCTTGCAAGCAACATATTTTGAACTTTTTTAACTTAACAAATCTAAAACATCATTTCTTTTTTCGCGATTTCCCAAACCTCCACAGTTCAAAGAAATTATATTGAAACTAGCCATTGAATATCAACTTAATCGCGGTACTATGAAAATCAAATCCTGTGGAGTTTTTCTTTTGTAATATCAAACAAATAACACTGACTGCACTATGCGCTAGTCCGCCGAAACAGCTTACACTGCAACACCTATGACAATTACAGCGATGTCTAGCACAAACGAAACTACAAAACAAAAACACATATGTCTCTGATAGCGAGACAAGACGCAATACCAAGAAAGCCACAGGTGACCACAAAATTTGCTGTGGATCCCCGAACCCCACCAATCCAACTAAGAGGGAGAATGTATCAAACGTTTCTCCCTCGGAAAGAAAGCAACTTTTGTCATGTTCGGGAAATGTATACACTTAATTATTTTACATATTTACAAATGTGCGACCTCCTATGATTCACACGGTTAACCTAAACACAAACTCCCCTTTCACAGAAGAGGTCAAATATAATAAAAAGATCGATAGCTTGACCGTAGTACTTTTTCGGAAACGACTAGCCCTTGATCATAGTCTTAATTTGTATCTTTATTATGATAAGGCCAAATGGAAAAAAAAAAAACAGTAGGAAGGAGGAGGCCCTTTTTCAAAACGGCCGCTCGGTACATTTTTCCTGACAGTCGGGCTATTTTTAAAGATGGCCGCTGGTGTTTTTGTTTTTTTAAAATCAGAAACAAATAATTTTATCAGTATGTTTTTCACGATTTAATTCATTGAAAGAAAAAAAAAAATTAAAAAATAGGAGGCGGCCCCCAAAAAGAAAGCGGGCGGGGACGCTAATAATGTATATTTTTTGTTAATGTCCTAATGATTATAATACCTATACTACTATAACTAATTAGTATTTGTAAACCACCAACCCCACATAAGTAATGCCCCTAAGATGAGTGTCTTGCAAAAAAAATTGTTATCGTCGTAGCAGGGATTTGAACCTTCTGATCTAAATCCCAGTGACCTATCCACTAAACCTCATCACCTCTACAAGTCATAGGGCAGTTTATGTGACTGGTTTACCCAAACCCTGATTTGCTGCTGATCAGGCTTTATCTTCTTTTAAAAGTTTACACTAGCCCTTAATGCCTTGATGTAAATATTCATATTCAGGGCCGCAGTCCGAGAGATTTACACATCCTATCAATGAAAATTGCTCAGCAATACATTCCACAAATGAATCATTGGCCGATTTGATGGTGTGCGGTAACCTCATAACATAGGAACAAACAGATTGTCTAGCCTCCTGACTAAAAGGTTCCCATATTCATTATCGGTTATCCAACATATGCTCTGGGCTTTTGTTTTGTCAAAGATACAGTATTAGGCCTAGGATAGCGATTGAATTGAAGGTTGGATTTAGGTTTAGGGTCAAGTACAGACTCAAAGGTTGAAGTTTGAAAATCAACTATTGTATGAAATTGACTGCAAAGGAATTGTTACTCAATACATCCTTTCATCTAGCTTCAACAAAATGAAACTCTTCCATCCAAGAAGTTGTTATTGTTGCTCTACTCACTGGTGACAATTTGATCCGTCTCCTCCGACTCTCAATCTCACAAATGAAGTGTCCCATCGCTATGCCAACAAGGTATGGCGGGATGCGGCAGTATGGTTTCACATATACCATTTTCTGAAAATCAAGGTTGCTGCTTAAGCCAGTTCCAGAGCCACCGGCAAAAGCTCTGGAGAAAAAAAAACCCAGAGAAGACAGTGATAGTCCTTTCACCTCTGTTAATACTGCAATATTGATGATACGCATTGGTACACCATTTTCTTTGCGATCTATTCATATCAGCGAGAAAACAATGTGATAATACTGAACATTGTGGCATTCCCCCTTTTGCCATGAGAGAACTTCTCATACATTTTTTTTAATTGCTGCCAAACTAAATGTCACCACAAAACAAAAAAATTCTCTTTCTTTCAAACTTACATGAACCAAACATAAAACATGGGAATCAAAACAATGATGCCAATTTAGAGAGTGAAACTGCTAACAATTTCTTGCCGTATTTTATTTTTAATTTTTTTAAAATCATTTTTCTCTCACAGAAACCCATTTCCTTTGAACCGTCCTGGATGCCCTTCAACAATGGTAAATTAAAAAGACCGTATAAAAGTGGATAAGAAAGTAAGCTGCCAATTAAAAGAATGTATTCAACAGCAATCTATTTCTTCAAAGACTGATCTTACAAAAGCCCATTTCACTAGATATATCACCTTTAAAATGTACTGGTGAAATTAACCCTTTCAAAATAAATGTACATGTAATGACAAAAAAAAAATTAACACACACAAAATAATGATTTCATGAAGAAGTGGTCAAAATCAATTCAACATGTAAATTTTCTTTTAACCAATGCTTCATGAACATCTTACCCAGCGATGGAAAGAAAGAAGCCTGGAAGAAAATCATTCTGATAGACGAGAACTGAGGTTGTAATGAAGCTAGCTGCACAGACTACAGCCAAAGCAATCATACCAAGTACAGGGAACCTGAAAAGGACACGTTATAAACAAAATATTATAGAGAAAAATTAAAGCCCCACGGACCAGACTGCCAATTTGAGATTCGCATGGACTTGGTGATTTCAAACATTCATAACTATCTTATTATTGGTCCCATTTACTTCAAACTTTCAGCATTCTGTTTATTTTGTTTTTTTCCTTTCATACAAATGAACTTGTCACAGAGGCTGGATTGCCCTTTCAATGTGAAACACTCTGCTCTATGGAAACATAAAATGTTTTCTTCAAAGACATGTAGGCTGCGTCTCACAAAACCATCATAAGTACAAGTTGAGCGACATCCCATTGAAACGTGTGTTAAACTTAATACAATGTCGCTCAACTTGTTCTTATGACGGTTTCGTGAAACGCAGCCCAGTTCTCTTAAGCAAGTTTACTGTACAGTTGGTGGATCCCAGTTTTTGTGAAGGGGGGGGGGGGGGGGGGGGAGGGGGGCACAATGCTGAAAAATCAAAGACAAATAAAATAGCTCTCAGGCTTACCAGAAAAGATTTCAGTATCAAAAATCTCTGACAAACACACACATTATACTTCTTTCTTTCTTTCATGTACTTAGGGTATGCCAGATAGAGTTTTGCTAGGGATGGCTGGGAGGGGGTGCACCCCTCATCCTGAATATGCCAATGCTGTACAACTGCATTTGGTATTAAACAGCTTACTTACCAGAACAAAGGAATTATGAAGAGTGGACTAATGATGAAAAACTGCATGTCATTGGCTAGGTACCATCCCCAGGATACACACTAAAGAGAACAAGATCAGTACAATATACAAGAAAAGAGTAATACAAATGTGACTTATAATATTATCATTATCAATAGATAGCAATGATCATCATATCAATATGATATACAATTTCTGTGATTCTATGACATATGCCCTTGCAGAAATGAATCTGCAGTCAATTTCCTACAATAACCATTTGCGGTAGAGCGTCTGCCAGTTGAACCAAAGATCCCGGGTTCGACTCCCACCAAGGCAGATGACTGAAGCCTGCGTTGTGTGTTTACGAGCCCCTTCCCTTGTTCATAGACGCAGGCTATGTTAAAAGAAAACACTCCGTCCCTCGGATAGGACGTTAAATTGAGGCCCTGTGTACAGGAGAGTCACCACCCTTGCACGTTTAGAACCCATTGCACCATTCGTATAAGAGTAGGGGGAAACCCCGGTGTAATGGTCCACCTGCACACCCCAATCAGGCCGAGTATACAGCAGATTATCTTGAAGAAGAAGAAGAAGGATCCTGCATAAAACCCTGGACCCAACATCATACCCAATCCTAACCCTAACCATATCCGTACATGTAACTACACTAAAACCAATCTGCAACCCCTGAAATTACCTACCACTACAACTAGGACAATACAATATCTCATGTCTTACATCTTTCTGACCTTCTTGCACAAAGTTATTGATGTATAGAAGATCTGACCACCAATAACTCTTGCAAAATCCGATGGTCCTGTCCAACCTGAACCAGACGGGACCCTGGTTGAGGTTTGGTAGCAGGAATGTTAACACAACGATCAGGAGAGCTAGGGTTGGTGTTAACCTGTTAAATAAAATGAGAGACGTTGCATACTATTAAGGTGTGTTCAGACATGGTCATAGTTATATAATGAAAGAGTATGTATCAGGATGTATTTGTAATTATATACCTCTCTTTAGAAATCTAGCCATCTGATTGGTCGAAATTGCAGTCTTGATTTTGGATATTCCCTTAAAGAGACAAACAAATGGTCAATAGTTCATGAGTGATATCCGTTGCCCTGGGTAACAGGCAGCATGAATCAATTGTGCTCAGATCCCCATTGGTTTATGTGTTCAAATTTTCTTTGTGCAAGCGCGGACACCATACAGTGCTTTTTGTCTCTGATTCCCAAATGATTGAAACTTTCAGTCATTTTTCAAGTGAAGATAAACAGAAAGTTTCTCAGATTTTCTTTGATGTTTTAACCAATATTTACTCAATAAAATATAAGACGTACATGTACCGTAAATCTCTGTGTATAAGGCGCAATTTTTTCCGCCAAAAAAAATTGAAAGTCGGGGGTGCGTCTTATACACAGGTACAGACAAAAAAAGTTTATATGTTTTTTGTTTTTGTTGTTAGATTCGATTTATGGCGCTATGCCTGGCAATGTCTCCCAGCTCAGTAATCAGTGTGTTGACTCACCACTCGGAAACTACAACACTCAAATTTGTCTGTCATCTTGGTTTGAAAGTAATCTTTCTAATAGAGCTCAACATGTAGTTTATAATAATAATTCCTCAATTTTTTTTTCTATAACAAATAGTGTACCACAAGGTTCTATCCTATGTACTCTATTATTTTTGATTTACATTAATGATCTTACACATTCTTCTAACAAGGGAAACGCTCTCGGCGGTCTCGCCTGCATTACGCAATTCGATATGATGAAAAATTGAGGTTGGGACATTATTTATAGGCAGGGTGGCCCATTAGCAGGCCCCCGAAATGTGTACATACATTAATGCACACAAACTAAAAAAGAAAAAAAAAAGAATCTTGTAGTACCTTTTAGAACTGAGCTCTTCATATACCAAAACCACAAGTTGGTCCATATACATTGGCACACTGTGTGTGTGTCCTGATAAATTTCTAAAACAAATTTTCAATTACACAGAGGCTCTTTTAATGCATTACGCAATTTGATATGATGAAAAATTGAGGTTGGAACAATATTCATAGGCAGAGTGGCCCATTAGCAGGCCCCAAAAAATGAAATCCTCTAAATATAATCACATTTTGAACTGAATATTGACTAAGAATCATCAGAAGAATTATTTACTATTTAATGTACCACTATCGATAACTTGAATGAAATAAATGAACAAATTAATCCAGCAAAATTATTAATTCTCATATTAAGTTGTGAAAACATAATCCAAGTCTACTGACCTTTGACCTTGTGACCTGAAATTTGTGTCATATGATTTGTGATACTTGATAACCCTTGGGTACAAGTTTCATGGAATTTGAACAATCAATTTTGAAAATATGCTAAAAATTCAAAATCTTGATGTAGATGGCACAACAAAGTCTAAGTTTGTTGACCTAAAATGACCTTTGACCTTTGACCTTAACTTAATGACCTGAAATACTACTCACATGATTGGTGATACTTGATAACCCTATAGTCCAAGTTTCGCTGACTAAGAACTTAAACTTTCAAAATTATATCAAAAATTCAAAACTTAACCTTAGGTTAAGTTTTCGATGATGCCGCCACAACATAGTCCAAGTCTGTTGACCTGAAATGACCTTTGACCTTGACTTTGTGACCTGAAATTCTACTCACATGATTGGTGATACTTGATAACCCTATAGTCTAAGTTTCATTGACTAAGAACTTAAACTTTCAAAATTATATCAAAAATTCAAAAACTTAACCTTAGGTTAAGTTTTTGATGTTGACGCCGCCACCGTCGCCGCCGTCACCGGAAAAGCGGCGCCTATGTCTCGCTTTTTAGCTACGCAGGCAAGACAAAAACGACATTGTTACTATAATTTGTGACAAATTCACAAGCACAAATCAGCACCTTCAACTGCACCTCGATGTTAAATGAAGGTCCTTCCCCGCGTGGGTTTTCGGCAACAAAACAACAACAAACAAACAAAACAAAAAAACAACAAAAAAACGCCCCCAAAATAGGGGTGCGCCTTATACACAGGTGCACCTTATACACAGAGATTTACGGGTATGTAGAATGTACCTGATGTATCGATGGATATAGTACCAGAGCCAAGGTATCTTGCCTCCTGTCTCTTTCATTTTCTTCAAGGTGTGATAAGCCAGTAGCATCCCACTGAAGGAAGGAGAACAATCACGTTAGGATTCTAAATCATGTTTCATGTTTAGGATCAACAATTCCAGGGGGGTGTTTCACAAAGATCCTAAGTTGAACTTATCTCTATGATAGACTTGAAAATTATGGAAAGCCGTTAGCATCTATGAAAATATTTTGTAAAGTTATTTTAAGAGGCATAAAGTGTTGATTCAAATCTTCCATATTTCTAATGTCAAGGAGGTTTCATGTTCTTGATGTGGAATTTATAAAAAGTCTAAAATACTTGAATTTTCACTTCTGAATATATTTTATTTCAAGGCTACATATGGCTCTCCATAATATTTAAGTCCAACTTAGAGTTAAGTTTGTCTTGAGATCTTTGTGAAACAGGGCCCTGATGTATATTTACAACTATCCGTTCTCAGGATAGCATGAAGAATGACGAGAGATCGAGAGACCAAACTCTGATGTCACATGTTTGTATAGTCCTACATACTTTAATGTGTCCAATGCTCTTCATCGTTTGTGATTCTTAGAATGATTTATAGTCATTTTGTTATAATTTTGAACCTACTTCTGAACCTCATAAACATGATTATTTGTATTAACTACTTTAGCGACCATTCGGAATATTACTTCTCAACAATTGAGTTTCTTTCACAACATAATTGCATGACCACTACTCAACTACTAAACTCAACTAATCTACTCCAAACTGAAAAATGAAAGGGATGAATTATATATCATCGGAAAGCTTATAAGCCATAGATTACAATAATATCAATTACGGTATATGTCATTTTAGTGTTTGTCAGAGGAGTATCAGAGCTCTCTCTGAAAACTCAAAATCTAAAGTATGAAAATCGGAAGTTGTCAACCTAAAAACTTGCTATCGACTTGATGACATCATCTTATGTGGAGTACGAATATTAACAATGACTTTGCATTAATAAAGCACGGCTCATCGCCTCAGCTATATAGGCGAGCCCATGGGGTCCACATGTTATGTAGTCACTGTAACTTCGCTAAATTTGACCCCTGTTGACCCATAATTTGGAGGGGTGCGGAAAATGAGGTTTTAATTTGCTTATGTGCAATAACGAAAGGGTAAATACTTGTTATTCTGTTATATTTGTATTCTCCATTCATTCAGTTTTCCATTTATATCAAGTTGTATTTTTTATCGGATAGGTCTTTAAAATAGCTAATGGACTCTTGAAATAACAATCAATGATAGCTCCTTGTGATCATAGTGGTTACAGTAGGCATGAAATTGGATTTCTTACCTCAGAAAGAAGAAGGTATCTACTCCTAAAAATGCATTGGCGATAGCTTGGAATGCAAAGTTATCCAACCATCTACCAATGGCTGATACAATATTCTCTGTATAGAAAAGAAATAGATTGTAACAGTTTTTACCCCTTTGGCGCATCACAAACTTAATTGTCATTGTGATGTACACGTGCATAGGGTACTGTTTTAGGTCATTATGACGTAGTGAGCACTGCTGTTATGAAGACACAAAAATTCAACCAATAAAGTTTGGGGATTTGGACTTATAAATAATAGTGCTAGGAATATACTAATGCGAGTGTGAGTGTATACATGCATATCCCTCCCCTCCTCCTCTTCATCATTACATGCCCCTCTCCCCCCCCCCCCATTATTACCATCACATTATCAATAAGAAATGCATAGCTGGTTTATGAACAAAAACCATAAATGAACTTTCAAACAGCAAATTTTACATTTTCATTCCTGCAGGATTCTTTTTGGCAACTTCAGGCATGTGTATGCCATCAGGGTGGCGGAATAGGCTAGTTGCCCTTCTCCCTAAATGAGCAGGTGATTTAATATCTTCAGGCTCTCAATGAACAGAACAGGCGCGTACGCAGGGGGGGGGGGGTGGTTTTCGGGGGTCAACCCCCCTTCTGTCAAATTGATTTTTTTTTTGTGTTTTGGAGGAAACCCCCCACCCCTCATTTTTCTTTTAATAACAAAAAAAAAAATATACAAAAAAGTTTAAAAAAAATAAAATTGTGCTAATGGGTGACCCAAAACAGGTGACCTTACCCCCCACCCCTCCCCCCAATGGAACAAAATATCGATCGGCCAAATTTTTTGGACCCCAAAAAACACAAACATGTGCCCCCCCCCCCCTTATTCAGCGCGATTTTCAAATTTTAAAACCCCCCCCTTCGAAAAAATCCTGCGTATGCGCCTGGAACAGAGTAATGTGTATTCACATACTGGTTATCTATCGAATCCCTAGCGATAACCCCACCTCCTTACCACTTGTTTGGGCCTGCAAGATGAAGATTAGCGTGTGACCCAATATGACCCAAGATATGCTGATGACACGGATTCCATTCAAACAAGATATACTGCCCTCTGCCTGCTTGGTGTTCAGAAGCTTGGGCAGGTTACGAGACATCGCGAAACAAAGCAGCACTCGTACCAAGACATCTGTTACAGTAAAAACAAAATAGACACATGTGATGAGAAGCTGCGACTCATATAACAGTCATGGTTAAAACTATAGTTCCTTGGTGGTTCAAGACTGCACTATGCCCCCTCGGCTTTGTTTAGGGGCACAGTTCAGTATTGATATATTTGTTTTATATTTTTCAAACCAAACTATATAAAAATAATAATGATAATAATGTTTCCTGTCAATGAAGTAATTTTTATTTTTTTTATTTTTTTATTTAGGTTTTATTTCCACATTAACTGCAACATATACAAAGTAACAAAACATGTACATAATATTTGATTGATACAACAGTAATAAAAACGATGTAATGGCAAGTCACTAAATACATATGATGCTAACAATTATCTGCAGTAATGAGGAGGAAACCTTGGAAGCATTATGCTTGTAATTAAGGTTCCCTTAATGAAGAGTGCAGTGAGAACAGCGCAGACGACAGTACCGCGACCGATAGTACATTGATCTTGATCGATGTAATAGTGATAACTACTTACTTGGTTGTGTCTCATGTTTTACATCAACTGAGAGGACAGTGGTGGACCTTGGGGGTATTCCTGAAGATAATAAAGGCGTCTTTTCAGTCTGGGGATTATTAGGCGAACTACTCTTATCTTCACTGTTCATCTGTGGAATAGCAAAGCAATTAAGAGCCAAAATCTTCAGGTAACATTCATAAAGAACAAGAAATTTAATTCATGATTGGAACAAATTAGGTGGTCTGTTATTTAATCTGAATAACTGGAAGACTATAAACATCTTTGAAGGAGAGTAGAATCATACACATGGGACGAATTTATGTTGAGGTATACATGATCATGATGATGGTGATAGGGATGATGACAATTGTAACAGTCTCCAGTTAATGTGATTTCGTCAACTGACAGACTATAATGTATATTCAGTGAGAGGGTCCACTCATGCCTTTTATTAATAACCACTGTACCAAAATACCCCACATAGACATAACACGTAAAAGTAAACAGAAAATGGGATTCTCAAATCACATTTTGTAGTTGTGTATAAGACGCACCCCTATTTTGGGGGCCAAGAAAGGAAAAAAAAAAAAGAAGGAAAAAAAAAGAAAAAAAAAAAGAAGAAAAAAGCCAGGTCCGTGTTCAAAAACCCACGCGGGAAAGGACCTTCATTTTACTGGGAGGTGCAGTTGGAGGCGCCAATTTTTGCTTGTGAACTTGTCACAAATAATAGTAACAATGAAGTTATCAGAATAATGAACTCGCCACAAATAATAGTAACAATAAAGTTAGCAGAATAATGAACTTGTCACAAATAATAGTAACAATGAAGTTATCACAATAATGAACATTTAGTAACAATGAAATTATCACAATAATGAACATTTAGTAATAATGAAGTTAGCAGAATATGAACATTTCAATGTTCATTATTCTGATAATTAGTTTTTAAAACTAAAGATGACAGGCAGATTTTCCTCTAAGTCCAAACAGAAATCCCGACATTCAGGTAGTGTTTTTCTAGTTTCTGAGTGGTAGATGTATGACTGAGCTGGGGGACATTGCCAGGCACAGTGCCAGGTGGAGGGCATAAATCAAAACTTTTTGTACCCGAGAAGAGCACCCCTGACTTTCGAATTTTTTTTCGGTGGGAAAAAGTGCGTCTTATACACAGAGATTTACGGTAGTTAAAATATCACCATGATCCCAACATCTGATTAAAAAATAAATGTCACCTTCCGTGTAGGGAATTTTCCCAGCTACAACATATCAGAATCTGGAAAACAAAATCATTCAAATATAATCGCGATATTGCTCGAACAAGACTGGAATGTAGAATCAAGATTTCAGATAAAGTTAACTCCCATACTAGGCATACAACACGTAAATCACAAAAATTCTGACATGTTACCTTTAATTGAAATTTTCACGATGATGACGTCATCAAAAAGAAAAATAGTGAGGATTTATCTTGTAGAGAATTGTCTTAGCTACAACATATTAAAATAAAGAGAGAAAATCAATCAATATTTACAGAGATACAATTTTCCATAAATGACGTCATAATACCAAATTCATATTTTGATTTCCAAGGCCATTTATTATAATGATGTCATGATATACTTAATGGCCAAATGAGACATGAAATCATATCTGAGACTCATACTCTATCCAAATATGAAGAAAAAATTGGGGGTCCCCAAGCATCCCAAAGAGCTGTAATGGAATTTGTTTAGGCTTGTTTTTGCCCATACACTGTATGTATTACAAGAGCTCACACGCACAGACATTTATCTTGAACGGACGCTCATTCCATTATTAATGGTAATGAAGAGATACCTGTAAACATGATATCAAATTGTTCCAAAAAAGGGAATATCATAAAGAGAAAAATGGCTATTCTATGTTGCGGTCATGAGGAACTAAATTGCACGCGCATGGCGATTTTTGTTGTTGAAATGCTAAAAAAGGCCTGAAACAAATGCCAAAAACTTTGAGACACACGCATTTATTGTCCTGAAATTGACCGGAGTGATATTGAGCTCAATCAGGATAAATATGAATGAGAAATGATTTTCCGTAATGAAAATATGATCATGAGTCGAATGTCAACAAAAAATGGCGCATGGGTGACATCACAAGTACTTGATGAACTTGAAAATGTTGCTGTCACGTCTTATAACAATTAAAGACCTACATGTATGACTGCTTGAGTTATCCTCTACACAAAAAATCAGACAAATAAATAAAAATAGAGAAATAAAGAAAGAAAATTCTGACAAAACTAATAGGTGATCTGTCGATATCGACAGACCAACAAATGAACTTAGTTCCCATAGTCTTTACTTTACGCATTAAACATGCAAGGACCTCACTATCTAGCCTTAAGGGCTACACGATCGAAAGTGCCGCCATTAAGGCACTTACATTGTAGAACTACTGTACTTGGAGAAATAAAATAATTAAATTGTTGACAAATCCTTCTTACAAGACCTGAAAAGGTCATATTAACATTGTGTGTTCACTTGATAGTAATACCTTCTATTGGTTTGAAAACAAACAAACAACAAAAATCAAACATTCACCCAAACAGACAGAGAAAGCAACTTCTAATATAAAGTGGGTCAAAATATTTACCTCATTTTCATCTTCATAGTCAACAGACAGCTTCTCGTAGAGGTTGGATGCTTTGCTGTGTCGCTGCCGTGATGACCCTTGACCTCCACTGGCTGAAAAGTTCCCATTGGCTTCCCCTGATGGGTTACTGCTGCCGGCTTGAGATGAACTCTTGAGGCAGTAGTCTACCACAGAGCCCACTATCGTCAGGGCAACAAGCGTACTGATAGCGACACTGTTAGGAAGAGTAGTAATAAAACAGTGAGATATGATCATCATTATCTTCACAAATAGCTTCATTAATGGCATATTGATAGATCTACACGTGTAACCGGAGTTTCATGTCTGAGATTATAAATTAATCTGTAGATCTATTTTTCAAAAATACAGGGAAATGCAGAAGATACAGGGGTTTAATTATCTTCACAAATAGTGATCAATATAAGTTATGATGTATCCGAAATCTGTGGACTAATGATTGTATTTAAATGTTAATGTGAAATCAATGTTATATTTATTAATAATTACGTAATTATTTATTATAAATACTACCAATAATAAATGTAGTGTCAATATTTTACTATTCTCATTAATATGATCAGATTATGATTTACTTTCTGATCGTTAATATCATAACTTATTTTCTATGACTCTAATCATTACCAGTTAAGGTGGACTTCCGCTTTTCACTTCATATATACCCTCTCCCTTTATCAGCCGCTCCTTTCTTTCGCTTTCCCCCTTTTTCCTCTTCACTTCCTTCCCAGAACTTTCTTATTAATCGCAAGCATGTCACCTCTCTCTCCCTCTCCCTCTCTCTCTCTCTCTCTCACTGACTCTAGTCTACCACCCTCTGTCAATAGCGTACGGCATGTTACTTACCACATCATTCTAAGATGATAAAAACAACACCTACATCTAATCTCTTTCCATTTAATTAATATTTCTGAAATGTTAATTACCTCATAATATTATCTCATTGAACTATGTATCATAATTCATCTGTACAACTGTACATTTTATGTTTATATATTATGCCCTGCTTTTGCATATTGTCATGGGCCTTGTGATATATACATGTGCCTGTATGTCTGTATTATTATGATCTCTTTGTATCACTGTCTATTTTGATTAAGAAATAAATGCTTTACCTACTATCCACATGACTAAGATATATTAGGAGTATAGAGTGGTGAAGTGTGACGTCATCAAAAATCTATTTTTAGAATTTCTCATTTTTTTCTTCATATTCCGAAAGAACATTCAATTGTTTTTCGACATTTGGACATTATTTTTGATGTTCTTTCGGAATATGAAGAAAAAATTGAGAAATTCTAAAAATAGATTTTTATGACGTCACAGCTTCGGTACTCTATCAAGTCTGGGGACCTTTATTAAAGCTAATGGTCAGTTGCACTGTAGAAGATACTGGCTTCACATAATTCTATTATGGTGTTGATGGGATGTTGGAAAAGCAAAATAGTAGGGGGAAAAAAGAAGTGTTTAGGAATGTTAGTTATACATCATTATTATGTTTTTGTACTGTAAATACAGGTATGAATTTGTTATTTATTGAGCATTCATGTGAGAGGATGATTATTAAATCATGTACATGTATAATGATCATTTATAATGATATGAAAACAAGGTAGAAGTTACATTTATTGAAAATCACAACAGAAAGCCTTACCAGGTTAAGATGAAGCCTATATCAAAGTTTGTGTTGGGCTTTTCAGTACAGGAGACAGCGGAACTTACTAGGTTCTTGATGGTCAACCAGGGTACATCCAACAGAACTAAATAATGCAAAAACAAGAACATCAAAAAGAATAATAATTGTGGCGTCTTTAATACATATAGTGCTCATGTCTGGAACATTGCCACTCCTGCATGGCGCTCCATTATCATTACCCTGGCTTTAGCACGGCTGCCTTTATGGCGCTCAAGCATTTCAAGGAACTAATTCCTGCCAGGTAAGAAACCATTTACCTCACGTGGGTGGAGTATGGCAATAGTAGATTAATGTTTTGCCGAAGGACATTGGTGCCGCAACAGGGAATCTGATGAAAATGAGTGAAATCATAACTCCTCAACCTACATTTGCACATATTTTCCCCAATTTTAAATAAAAATCCAACCTCGATAGCAAACTACTCTAGAAGAAAGCAGGAAGAAGAAAAAAAAATTATTAAAGAAATATGGACCCAATGCCCTATTGAGGAAAGCAGAGGGAAAGCTGATTGACAGATTGGAAATGTGTGGCTGTGGAGTGGGAGAATTTAATTGGAGAGACAGGGCGCACTAATGAAGAAGTACTGGATTGATTGAACAAACAAAAGAACTTGAGAGAAAAAAAATCTGAATAGGACACATCTAATACAGGGGGATAACATGCTCAGGGACATATGACAGAGAGAGAGAGAGAGAGAGGGAGAGGAGAGAGAGAGAGAGAGAGAGAGAGAGAGAGAGAGAGGGAGCCCTATGGTACATCCAATGCATGCGTGATAGTGATCATGCAGTTCACTGTGAATTAATGAGGTGACCTGCATCCTGCTAGGCTTCCTGTGTCTAAGGTGAATTCTCCAAACTGGCTAATAGACCAACAAGTACGAGTTCAAGTGCATGCAATACAAACAGATAATTACATCAGGTAAAAGATATCATCACAACATATTAAGTAGTATTGATAATAATAAAGAACTTAACATGCCACATTAGCAAAATAATATATTTTCCAATTGAAATATAATTCAAAGAAATGATACTACTAGCACTGTAGCAGGGTGGGCCACAAACAAAAATTCAAACATGTAAAATTGAAACTTGGAAGAAGAACTAATTTGCCATAAGTTCCTTCTTGTGGCCAGGGGTTCATTGCCTGCTTCAGAGCATTACATGGCAACTTTGAGAATCTTAGATGTTCTCTGGTGCAAACTGGGGCTGTATTCTGAAAACGATGTTATCTTTCATGCTAGGGACATAGATGTCAATGGTCATAACAAACTCAAAATGCCTGGGACTAACACTTACCATTGGTGCTTGCACAGACAATAACCAATGGCATAGATCTCCTAACTTTGATTTGTCATGACAATCGATAATGTTTTGCGAACATAAAAGATAACCTCGCTTTAAACATACCACCTCTATAAGCTTTAATTTGAAACAAGTTCAAATCTTTTGCTTCTATTTTATAACCTGTCACTGTAAAACATTAAAATGACCCCGTACTGAGAGCGTGATAGCCAAGGTTACAAGAGTACAGACACTGTACGGCAGAACAAACTCGGTAAGAAATGTGGTGTCATTGACTCTTCAGTAAGTCAAGGGTGCAATCAACAAGTAAATGTTTGCAGACCAAACTAATTTATCCATTCTAATCATTTTACAAATATTTACTCACAGATATGGCTGAAATTGACACAGTCTGAGTACTTTGACAATCTTTGAATGCATTATTGATAACTTAATGCATAACTTAATTGTACAGAACAACCTTCATTCACAGTTTGTATAACATGTTCTATAAGTCCTTTTTATAATCCTGTTTTTTCCTTCATATTTCATAAAGTGTTTGTTTCTTACAAACATATTGACAATAATTAAATTTTCATTCTTGTTTGAGTTTTGTTTCTACTGCATGATGTTTAAGGAAAATCTATATAAAAAGTTTTGTAGTAAAGAAAAAATTAGCTACATGTAGGGACACACTGCATTTACAAACTCATTTTTCATTTAAACTTCTCACATCATTTTCAAAGACAGGGGAAAAAATATGAAGATGACAATAAAAAGGAGAAGAAGGAAAAAGGGAAGAACATGAAAACAAACCTGAGAATTTATGACAAGATTTAAAAAAAAAGCAGAAAACAAAGCAGAGACAGAAGAAAAATCAAAAGAAACAAGAAAATCAAAATCCATAACACCCCATTATAGCTGCATAGAAACAGGATTTCCATCTAACCATATGATGAGGGAATTAATGCAACTTTTATTATAAACATTAATCTAAAAACAAACAAGCAAGTCATTTCTGATTGTGACATATCATACCCACACCCTTTTTCAGGTGAATAACCTGTACAAAGGAATTGCGAAACTCCCTATGTTTATTGTAATACTTGGTACTTGGTACTGGTCGATGGTCCTCCAACATCCTCCTTGTGGACTTTGAACATGAGGTGGTAGTATTTACTAATAATATCATACACATTTTGTTGGATTTATAATTCTGATGGTTTTGATAAAGATTTTAAGAAAAAGAAAAGTAAAATCGAAACTCCAAGCTTACCAAGCAGAAGTTCCAGACTATTTCTCACATCTTCCTCACTGCAAACCTCTGGGGCACACACACCCCACTGAATGGGAAGTACCTGATATGAAAGAGGGTACATTCTGTTATTCCTTTAACCCACTGAATACTTTAAGCATGATATTTTTACTAAAATGCAATTATACGAAAATCATGTAGTATCCAATAGTTCACATATCCTAGGACTAAATAAACTATGTAACAGGTTGTACACATGTATACTGTAGTGCATAATTATTATTTACATGTACATGTATCTAGTAATTTGTTTGTACTTTTTTCACATTATGTGACTTTAATGAAGTACACTGTAGGTAAAACCAGAAAGTTTCACAAACAGCAAAACTGCAGGTTGTAATTTTCAAATTGTGTAAGGCATGAAACTTTTGTGAATCTAGAGAGCTTGCAAACTTCTGTATATATAGGCTTCTGCAGAGGTGCTATGGTCTAGTGGTTAAATCCCTGGATCCCCCTTTTTTCTCATCTGAACAACGTTACCAAGTCCCTTTAAGAGGGAAACAATGGCTGCACAGAAGTACAGACCATTAAAGGCAGGCTTTACTACTTCAGCCAGAAGGGATTAGACCGAAGAGCGAGCCAGCGAGGTCACTGTGACAGGTGGCTATCTCATTAACTTAGCTCTCATTTAACATAACAAAAAGATGATCATGGGGGACCAACAGGAACGATTGGGGAAGTTTTATATATAGAGGGAGCAAGTAGCTACAAGTAGGACAGTGTGCCTTTAAGAACACCCTTTTGTAATGTCACTCTTTAGTGCCCATACATGTACTAATTAATAGAAAGTTAGAATGTAGGGCAACACAATAAAAACTGTATCATGTACAGTACAGTAACTGCTAGAACATGTCAATGTGGGGGGGGGGGGGGGGGATTCCAGGAATTGCAGTATAATCTGTGCACATCCTTTATTTATTTATCTCCATTTTTAAGAAATAAATAAATCAGCAATTGACTGACAAAACTCCTATAAATAGGTAATCCCAAGTTCTACATGTAGGTGGAATAGCATTTTTGATTCACTCTGAATTATTATCATAAAGTAGGTGGGATATCTGGACCAACAAAATATTAAAAAGAAGTCACACTAAAAGTGAAATCCTTTTTTTGTTTTTTGAAAATGATTTCTTATTGATCTTGGACTAAATGAACCTGTACATAAAGACCACCTGCCTATAAGAACCCCTCTTCTTGTCTCCCTTGAGCGGTCTTTATACACAGGTTTGACTGAAATGCCAAGTCGATCTTACCGTAGAGACACCTAAGAGCGTGCTCAGGTTGGCCCCCATTCCCACCAGACAGTGTCGAAAGCTCTCTACTGCCATGCACTGATCAAAGTGACCCAACCAGGCAAGGTTGCCGGCCAGAATACCTGACGCAGGTTTGCCAAAAGAATCCAGGACTAGAGAAGACAATTTATATAAAAAAATGACAATTTACCAGTAATGTTAAAACTCGATTCGCTAAGGCTTGTGTTCACATTTAAATTAAATATGGAAACCTCAGTCAATGTTTTTTCATTTACATGCATGTTGATGGCAGGGGGGGGGGGGTAACATTTAAAAATTATCAGTACACAGTAAGGCCATTAACATTTTTATATTTAAAAAAAAAAATAATCAGAAATTGATCATTTTAGCAATATGTTTTTCATGTTTTTATTCATTGAAAAAAAAAATTAAAAATAGGAGGCGGCCCCCAAAAAGAAAGAGGCGGGGCGCTAAACATGATTTTTTTATTTTTTTTAATGGCCTAAAAGTCCTCTGCATACTCCTGTCACAGGTGTGTTAAAGAGATGTGAAGTGTAATTTGCTGGGGTTTACCTTGGCACATGGAGATAAATTATTTCAAAAGTGTGCAAGATTTTGAGATATACATGTACTGGTACATATAGTCAGGTCCTCTATCTATGAACTTTTTTTTTGGGGGGGGGGAGGGGGGTGGGAAAGGGGGAGTTTGAGGGATACAGTTGACAATATAAAAAAAACTTTAAATGTGTCTGTCAATTCTCAAATATCCTTTAAAAGGAGATTTAATTCTATTGATCGAGACTGAAAAAATCAATCTTTCTATCTGTGCATGTTATGTGGTTATCAAGGTTACACAAAATGCCAGTCATGTTATTTGAATAATGATGTACCCTTTCCTCTAGTACAGAAAACAAACATTCCACAGACACTCTTCATGGTATCAAGAAGTCTAGACTTTACTTATAAGATTGCATGGAGCTATTGTAAATGTTAAGTAGTTGGTAATCAAGCCACCATGCTAAGTACCGTGTACCATTCAAATAACACAGTCTGCATAGTGTGTGTAGTTTACCTTGTGTACTCAATGAAGCCAATGAAGGGCATATTATAGAAAAGAACTGTACTATATACATGGGCCTAAGAGAGTATTCAATCACAAGGATTATTGAGCACTCAGTAGAGATTAATGGCTGCATGCAAGCTTTCCATTTGACGATGAATGCAGGCAATTTATCATCCATTAAGAACCACAGGAGCATTACATGACCCCCACTAGCTCTTTTCCCCCTAGCTGTCATGCACGATTCAGACAGTCTTTTATCCCCAATTCGATACAAAAGTATAATGCCACAGTTAGGCTTTAAAAGTCGTAATTAAATCGCTCTACATTTCCCGGATTGAGCTTATAGTTTTTGACAATTCTATAACCCAAGTAGTTGTTGTTTACATTCTGTATTCAAGAGCGACACTTCCGGGTTTGCACTCACTTCACCCCACGAGGTCATCAAATCGGGCCTCAATATTCTTGCGAAACTTGCGATCAAATATGCATGGTTTAGAATACGATTTTCAAAGTAGCCGTTCTCCTAAACGCAACCTTCTAAAGTGATGCTGATGTGTTTTTCATGCACTAAGCTTGAAAAGGGTGTATATTTATTTTTGTTCCGTATTCCCCTTTAACATTGTCAAATGTCAATCTTTTCAGAGTTAAATATGTCCTTGAAAAGTCAACAGTCAAATGCATGAAAGTGATTTATACAAAGCACAAAATTACCTACCTGGCACTAGTTCTGCTGTTTCATTCCGCAACTTCTGAAGCTCATACAAACACATTGGAGAAACGTCATTAATATCAGGAGCATCGGTGGACAACATGAAACCATTCAGGTTTACCAAGGTGTCGGTAGAGTCTGTATTCCTTCTCCTGGCAGCACAGCCTGGATACACGGATAACCAAAGGATGCATAGCAGCAAACTTATGTGTGCGATTGCAGTCAGTCCTGCAGGCCATCGACGCACCATTTTGGATTTTTTGAAAAGGCAGCTTTTGGAACACCTGTAAATACAGTTAAAAAATAGAAAATAGAATTTTCAGCACACAACTCTGAACCATACAGTATACCATGGGATTTTGTTGAATTATGTACAAGGTACTAGTACCACACATTTTTGGAAATAATTAACCTTATACCGGTAGTTTGCCCCCCTCCATAGCTGTATCTAAAAAATGTATCAGAATGTGTACAATAGGTTTGTGTGTATTACCGGTAGCAGGGATTAGTCAATACAGTGACCTAGCTACATGTACCTTTAGACATTGAATTTTTCAAATAACTTGCACATTTTTTGCAAACATTTGAATATATCAATATACAAACTCTATTTTGCTTTGACTTTTAAACTTTATTAAGGGATATGTCTATATTCTGCCAAAGTGATTTGACATGCACTCTACCACAACGAGCAGAGCGTAAAGTTCTGTCAGTCTCTGGCTGTGTCTGCATGGTTTAGCTACAGTACAGAGCCTATGACTTTAGTATGTTTAGTCTCACTGTGGAGACACTGTTACGAACAGGGACTGACAAGGGTTTGTGCAGGCCTGCAAACTTAGACTAAGGGACAGAATTAGAAGGTTCCACTCCAAATGATAAATCCAAAGGGTGGTATTCTCAAAAGCGGACTAACTTTAGTCCATGGTTTAATCCACCGACTAAGTATGGAATGCCAAGTGTCCATATGAATATGTTTTTGAATAATTTAATCTGTCACTAAATTAAAATAAAATGTAATAACATAATAAAATAAACAATATAACTATGATATAATTATGTTATCATAGTAATTTAGGGACATATCAAATTATTCAAAAACATATTCATATGGGCACTTGTCATTCCATACTTAGTCGGAGGATTAAACCACGGACCAAAGTTAGTCCGCTTTCGAGAATACCACCCAAAGAAAGCAGTGACAAGAGATACCAACAATGCAAATATCACTTCACTGCAAGTTCACTCAATCAGGCCAACATTGTGTAACAAAATTGTTATATCTGGCTGGGAAAATGGTTATCACAGCTCTTTCTCTTTCTCTTTGCTTTGACGTACTGCAGGAAGTATTCTTTTCCACTATTCAATGTCATACAACATACATGTACATGTATGTCGTTGCAATTGTACCAACACATTATAATTAATTTCAACCTCTCTGAAAAATTTATAAAATATAAATTACTGGTTTTCTTTGGCAAACACTTTCATGCATCAACATGCATTTTTTTTTAATACAGTTGTAATAGGAGCTTGGATCTATTTTACTGCTTATTTTACAGTGAAAATCTTCATTATGCCCAGTGCTCATATTCTGACAAATATATGTTTGGCACACTAATGCACCAAAACAACCCCAAAATGACTACCAGTATTTCTATTCCTCTATATTTACATTTTTGTCCTGCTTAGCTGGTATCAGCATAGAATAGAAGCTTGGATTCATTTTACTGCTTATTTTTACAGTGCAAATCTTCATTATGACCAGTGGCATATCTCGAGTCCAGCTATTATATGAGGGGCATTGATCCAGGGGGGGGGGGGGGTGCACCATCTTACTCAGTGGATGAATTTACATAATAATAGATATACAAAGGCCAATTTACTTTCTTCTTTTCTTTCTTTCTTTGCCTCTCTCTTCTTTGCATTTACCCATCTTTGGCGTCCTATTCCCTGTGGCTAATTATTATAATTATTATGTGCGCCATCTACACGTTCGTAATGGCGTTATCACAGTTTTTCCTTCATAATCTTTTTTGCCTTCGGCGTAGACTAGAAGGGATGAGATTGATTTAGATGACTCCGGCAGCGAGAGTTTAACACGGCTTGCAAGATTTTCAACATGGATGTCGATTTTGACCCATAATTTCCTTAAAAGGGACCATTAAACGGATTATTTCAATCAAGTTAGTAAGTGGAACCGATGTATTATAGCCTAGAAATCTAGGCCTAATTTACATTTGGATATACACGAGGTAAAATGACATTTTGGGGGATTTTGGGGGCAAAACGCTACATGACCTGAAATGGCCGTGGCATTATCAAGGGAATGTGTATAGACGGTTTCCGTCTCTAAAGAGAGAGCCGGCCGACCCGGCCTACCCCAATTAAGAGGCTAACGAACGAAAGAGACGGAAACTTCGGTCTAGCCAAGCACCTGCGCCTGCTGTCTTTCATCTCTGTAACTCCAGGAAGCTCCGGGCATCGGCGTCGAAGCTGGAGTTATTTTCTCTCACTCTCTGCAGTTAGGATCTAGACTAGAGTCTTCTTCTTCTTCTTCAAGACAATCTGCCTCCTTCAATACTGAAGATTCTTGCAGATGCCGTATAGTCTACTCGGCCTGTTTTGGGGTGTGCAGGTGGACCATTACACCGCGGGTTTCCCCTAGACAGAAATAACCATCTAATTTGGGTCATTTCTTTAATAAAACTGACATTTGTTGTCTATAATCGGAGGTCGGCAAACCCGGACTTTAGTGCCCCAGCTGAAAATCTCAGTTTATTATGGATTTAATATCAATAATATTAATTATGCTAATATATGCAAATATAAACATACCAAAACTTGATGATTTTTAATCATTTGACGTCATAAAAAGCAATTTTAAGCCAAAAATAGCAGCGAAGTAGGGGATCTCCTCTTTGCTTGATGCGAGATACTAGCGAACTGAAATAACCGAATAAAAACTATGGTGAACTAAAAAAAGAAAAGAAAAAATCAAACCACCTCTGAAATTACCTTTGAAATGTTTATTAATTTTTTCTTCCGATATGCGCACATGATAGGGGCAGGTTGGGATGGGATGGGGGGGGGGGTGCTCAATAGTCGCCAAATTTGGGGTAAAAGGGCAACTGGCCTTGGGGGCAGAATAAAGAAAAGAGCCACCCCGGAAAAAAATTAGAAAAATGATTACAAAGAAAAATAAGTAAATAATAAATTTAGCCCCCCCCCCCAAGGCCAGTTGCCCTTTTACCCCAAATTTGGCGACTTTTGAGCACCCCCCCCCATCCCATCCCAACCTGCCCCTATCATGTGCGCATATCGGAAGAAAAAATTAATAAACATTTCAAAGGTAATTTCAGAGGTGGTTTGATTTTTTCTTTTCTTTTTTTAGTTCACCATAGTTTTTATTCGGTTATTTCAGTTCGCTAGTATCTCGCATCAAGCAAAGAGGAGATCCCCTACTTCGCTGCTATTTTTGGCTTAAAATTGCTTTTTATGACGTCAAATGATTAAAAATCATCAAGTTTTGGTATGTTTATATTTGCATATATTAGCATAATTAATATTATTGATATTAAATCCATAATAAACTGAGATTTTCAGCTGGGGCACTAAAGTCCGGGTTTGCCCGGAGGGCTAGTGGAGCCAGACGTAGTCTCAGTGGAACAACCGACGATTAGAGAGACTGAAGCTTTCGGTCTAGGTTTCCCCTATTAAACTCCAGGAAGCTCCAACACCGGCGCCGGTGTTGGAGCTTCCCGGAGTTAGGTTTCCCCCTACTCTTGTACATGTACACAGAGATCCAAATAGTATTAACCAGGTTCAGATACCTCGACAGCTTCAATCACATCATGACATCAAAACAATTTACATTAAGCTATAGTATTAGGCCTAACGGTTATCAGATTGAATTCTGCAAAATATTTGAAAATGTATAATTATGAATGCACTTACCGGCTTACCGCCGACGAGACCAAACCAGCTGGTAACTTTTTGACCAAACGGAGCAGAGATATGATAGTGCAGTGACGACCAAAGGTAGCGGGTAGTCTGCAGGCACAGACCCTAATTTGACACTTAATCAAAAAATCAAGTTGTGCCTTGAGAGAAGTCTAGCCCAGCTACCTAAAATGATTTTATGTTGACAGCCTGTCTGGAATCTCCGCAAAATGCGAACAATTGAACAGTGTCGTTTTTTTTTTTCCCTCCCTTTTTTTTTGTTTCCATTTAAAATTATTAAAAAACTTGAATTCGGCGTAAATATTCACAATTGAATGACACACGCCCTTAAAACTAAAACAACAACAACAACAACAACGGTTCTGCTTCTTTTTATGTACCAGCATTCTCCCTTCAACAAGCCAAACGATTGGCGGATCACACCTCATCTTTCAGGCTGCAATTGTCCTTGCGCAATATTGACCGCGCTAAGACCATATTGCCCTCGTCTTTCGACTCGGGGCAATATGATCTGAGCTTGGTCAATATTTCTGATATACCCCTCAAGGCCAGTCAATATTATATAATTATTACCAGCAAGTATATAAAACTCTGGCAAGACAGATGGAATAATTCTGATAGCTCTCTTAGACATATACTGCCTACAGTAAATCAACCATATGAATGTAAGTTGAACAGATTTGAAGAAAGTATATATTCTCCATAGATTAAGAATAGGAGTGATATGTTTGAACTTAGATCTCTTCAGATTGAATATACACTCGACAGGCCATTGCAATAACTGCATAGGACGTACTGAAACTGTAAACCACTTTCTCACTGAATGCCCAAAGTACAGTATTGTCAGCTGTATAGAGTAAAATGTGTATGTGTTACATGCGTACGCAGGGGGTGTTTTGGGGTAATTCTGTCCCTAAAAAAAACACGAAGTGGAGGGAAATGAGAGGGCCAAAATAAGAAAAGACAGAGAGAGGGAAAGAAGTTTCCAGAATTCCCGCTGAACTATTGAAATTAGGATTTCGATCGGGGAACTGTACATTTATCTTTGTGTTTTCTCCAAGTAATTGTATGCAGCTTGACCTTTTGTGTATTATATTCTTGAATGAATTACTATATCCATACACTTGAAGTTTTGTTCAACGGTGCTTTGCTTTTTAATTTGCTAGGGTGACTAATACGCATTTTTAACCAGGTGACTCTAGGTATATGGACTGTGCTAATATATTTGTATACAAATTTTCTCATTCCATTATGTTATAAAATTCCCCTATAATTACGTCTTTCTCTACTGACTCTACTGCAACAGTTTTTTCATCTATAACACTGGCGTAGGATCCGGGAAGTTCCTAATTAGCCCCCCCTCGGTCAAAATGGGGGGGGGGGGGGCCGGGGCGGGGATATCCTTCCGCCTTCCCCCTACTTTTTATTGCTAAAACCCCTTATTTTAAATTGTGCATTTTTATAATAAGTGTCCTTTTCCCTTTGGATATATACCCCCTTTTCTTTTTACCATAAAGTGTACTCCTAATTTAAAGCGACTAGAGCATTTTTTCAATATAACCCAAAGCTCGCTCGCTACGCTCGATCGCATTCTAAGTTAATATGATTTTGTTTCTTATTAAAGATTCTATTCAGTCTTTCATGATTAGGATTGTTTTTCCTCTTTTTAAGATATAATTTTTCACACTGCGACTTCACAAATCTTTAAATTTGGGCTCGCTCGCAAATGAATTCATCCCTAATAATCTAATCATAAAGTAGGGGTATAAGGGCCTACCAATGTCTAAAAGTTATATTTTTGCTTTGAGGTTTCGCTTTGTGAGTGCTCCTTTTTTCCATAAAGTGCCCTTTTTGTCCCCCCCCCCCCCCCCCCCCCCCACTTTGAAAGACGCTCCGCCGCCCCTGATCCAAGGGTAGATGTGATAGTTAAATCTCGCAGAACATAACGTAATCCCTCATGGCGAAACTCCTACATGTTCACAATTTCTATTTGTTTTGTTTTTTTTAATTCATGATGAAATTGAAACGTGCATATACCATTTACATATATGATTTCTATTACATAATGTCTGTCCTTTGTTCTGTAAAATGTGGAGAAAAAAACAAACTTGAAATGCAGGAAAAAGCCCAGGTTTTTTAAAGCTAGGATATCAAAATTAGTGATGTTGGAGAGCATTAACCCTTCCACACTCACACTTGTTCGGTTGCTTATACCTCGCGGGGTTCACATCATTGATGCCATCAAATTTTAAAACAACCCCCTTGAAAAAATCATGCGTACGCCACCGATGTGTTATATAATTTTGTGTTTGATCATATTACTTTTCTGCTCATTTGACTATTGTTTATATCTATTTCAAGGAGGAAAACTGCTTCTGATAAACCCTAAAAATTGTATTAATTGTATTTCATACTTAACAGGTAAAGCATGTAAAGTGAAATTATTCTTAGCACCTATTTAGTAACAAAAATGGTATATTTTATGTTTGTTTTGCAATTTCTCAATGCTAATGCCCCAGAATTGTACTGGTTGATGATGCAATTTGAATAGCTGATGAAATGTTAGAGTTTTGTTGAATAGATTTCTTCTTTCGTTTTGTAAGTTAAAATTTGATTAAAAAAAATATAATAATGGTGAAAACAGTGAGGTGATGTTCACCTTACACTGGAGGTGACATTCAAAACAGTTGGTCCCCCAAAATGAAAATAGATTTAGATGTCACCTTTAAAACTAGTGATCATGTTGTTGAATAGCACATAATTGTTCTGATGCAGGTGTTGTTGTTGTTGTTTTAGTCTTAAAGGCGTGTGTCATTCATTTATTACAGTTTGGTAGCCTTGATCCAATCCGTTACTTTTATAAGTTCAATATTTGCTCATTTAGATGAGAAAATATATCTTTTAATAAGTGATGTAAAGCAGATAGTCCATGTGACGATTTATCGTTTAATTTCATTGTGATTTGTTACTTGTATTTACACATTGTACTCGGTCGTGAATAAATTTGAAAATATTTAGTTAGATGTTGACAATGAATGTTATCATCATCTGTAGTGGTGTCATGATATTTACTTTTTATCAGGGATGCCAGTTTTCAGGCAACAGCCTGAATTCAGGGCATGGCAAGCTATTTCCAGACCATAGTTTCGGCTGTTTTGCTTACAAAATAGCTCATTCTAGGTGATTTTCAGGCCTTCTGATCAATGCTTACTGCATGGCATCCCTGTTGTTCGATTAAAAATTGTACATTATTACACTATGTATGTCTTAAATTTTATGATTATCCATGTGTTTATATATATATCTTGGTGAGAATTAACTATTTTTTAACAAGACATAATAAAGTGACAAGAAACAGACATTTTTATGATATTCTCGTTCGTGATATCTCATTTAGAAAAGTGTCTGTTGAGTTGGTTACATCTAGTCTGTTAAATTTTCGACTGGATGAGCAATGTGTTAGTCCGCTAGGCTCTCTATATTGCAAGGTGCCCAAATGAATGGAATATTTGATGTATATGATTAAGATTTAAGCAGCACACCAAGACTAAAGAATAATACTAAATATGAGTTTTTTATTTCAACACAATTAAACCTTAACACTACCAAAATAATGATTTAAACAGTAATTAAATGATAGGCCTATCTAAACTACAAAAATATTTAGTTCTGACTGAACACTTTTGCACAGTTTCATAAGCTTGTAGGTAACTAAAGATAATAATAACAATAAACAGGAGTTGTGATTTCGTATAGTTTTTTATAACTTTAATTTCAGCTAGAGAGATAATATAACAAAAAGAGATCAAGATGTGTGGTTTAAAACAATGGAATCACGTCACAAGCATTAGATGCTTCAAGATATATTGATTCGTTTCTCAAAACTATTACATAGTTGCAGCAGCATTAAATGCTGGAAAATCTTTGTTGGCGAGAAACAAAATAAAAACGACACATAACCCTTGGTTTGTGAGGATGAATTGCTAAATAACAGTACACGCGAGAGTAAACATTTTGAGAGCTATGCAAAATGAATGTTGGTGACATGCATGGATATCTGTGCAGTGTGAGTTTTCAACCCAAAGCGGTTAAAATAGCATTAAGTAACATATTTTTGTCACTGTGCATTGTAAATCTAAGGCAGTATTTACAACCTACCAGTAAGTAATTTATCAAAAATATCAACAACTGCATTCTTTTCCGAAATCTAATGTTCACCTAGAATTTTTTTTTTTTAAATTTAGAATAACCTTCAGTAATGGCAATAATGCCCCCCCCCCTCCCAGCAAACACAAAACGTTTTTAAAACGTTTACAGAACGTTCTTATCAGGTTCCGTACGTCTTCGTCCATATTAAACGTTTAAAAAACGTTTATATAACGTCTAAGTTGGGACCTTACATTCGCTGCGGAGCTAGGTCTTTTGAAGACGTTCAGAAAACGTTTTTTGGACGTTACAAATTAAACGTTCTTGGATAGGTCCTGTAAAACGTTTACAGAACGTTTTATTCAGACGTATTTTGTTGAATTTATTTTTTATGTCCAAATAAATATTTCTTAAAAAATACCAGCTGGCGAAATTAGGCCACATGCATACGCTTGGGGGGGGGGTCGAGGTGTGTCAAACTGATGCACTCCTGTGGCGTAGAGATGGAGGGAGGCACGTGCATGCCCCCAATAATTTTGAGGAAAAAAAATAGAAAACATAAGGTGACATTATTTGAAGAAAAAAGAAATACATAAGGAGTGACCCCTCCCCCTCACATAATGTTTGTGCCCCCCCCCCCCCCCCCCCCCCCCTCCCAGCCCAATCAGTCCGACCGCGCTACGTCATTTACTATGCTCCATTCAACCACGTGTATACAAAGTGCGTACGCACCGTATATAATCGTACCACTGTATAGGTCAGTGAATCGTATCCGGCGCGGCCGGTGCGGCGCGCTCGCTCCAGAGCTTGCCGCGTGTTTTAAACTGACTGCCGAGTTGATTGCTTGATGACGTGACATCGAGATTTCAAATAATCTGTTAGACTGCGACACCGAGGTAAGCGTTATTTTAACATTTTGATATCTGTAAGGAATTTAAGCTTTGTTTGATTGATTTTGAAGCATGTAAAATGAAATAAAATATTGATTATTTGCATTAAAACTAAAAGTACGGCAGACTCTATGTCGCATGTGCAGGCCGTTGAAACTTTCATTGCATTGACTGGTATGGTAATTGGGTAGGCTAGGGTATGTGCACACATAACTCCAGGAAGCTCCGATGCCGAACGGCGTCGGAGCTTCTTGGAGTTAGTGCAGTTAGTGCATACCTGAGTTAGTGCATACATAGCTGCATTACTATCCTGGCTGTGTGTATTAAAAGCTGTGCTATTGATACTCAACATTTCAAACACCACTGTACAAAACTCTTTCACTAAAAATCGGTACTTTAGTGACAATTGATGAAACCTAAATAGCAGTAATAAAATACAATTTGTTCAACTTACCGATGTTATTTTGTTAAAAAGAACAATTTAGAAATTCAAATTGTTTGTCTACTGTCAAAATTTGCTTACAGCTAGCCGCATCGGCATGATAAGTGCATTTGTGTATTATGTGTGTATCGACTATTCCTTTTGAGCAAATGCTGCCTCTTAACACGTAATGCAGTGCTAAAGGTCAATACGCATAATAGCATGGACTCTTTGCTGGAGTGGGTAGGTGCGCATGGCTCGTTACATTACATGGTAATCGGATGATTAAAACAGTTGAGTTGTTAACTTTGCTGTCTGGAAAAATCATGGAAAGTTCCCATCGGGATTTAAAATGCTATTTCGTGAAGAAAATAAGTCCCTCGACTACCAGCTCATTTCTTGACTTATTTACTATTCCCTCAATAGCATTTAAAATCCCACGGGAGTGGAACATTCCATGCTTTTCACTCCACCACCATTTAGCAACTTTATATTATCCCAACCCCGATTACAACAGGTTTGTTTTTTAGGCAATTGAAATAGCTCCCAAACCACCTTTTTTGTATGGATATTGTTTTTTAGAAATATCGAGACCTAGATCTATAGGCCTATCTTGTTCTCAATTTCGTCTCTTTAAACAAAAATCTTTTTAGTTCAGATTACACATTATTTAAAGAAATTGATTTCCAATAACGTAGATTAATAACTTAAGGATTGATTTGTTTTATTTTTACATACAGGCAACTATGTGAAAGTGCAAAAATATCGCCAGGAAGGCAGAGGACACGTCAAACCTGGTACCGGAAGATGATGCTGTGTAGAAGCGAAAGAGACGTCTTTCCCCAGAGATTTAGCAAATCTTCTAGTGATTCCGGAAGTGACGCTGGTAAGTATTTGTCTCTTGATGGTTAGTAGTGCTTGGCTCAGCCAGAGACTTATAATTTACATCTTATTTCTCGTTTTCTTCAAAATCCAACAGATGATGAAAACCTAAGATAATTTATTTGGGATAGCTAGACCTGCTTTGTGTCCCAGCCATGCAAAATGATGATTAATAGATGTGGCACCATTCCGGCAAAACTGGAAATTAATTTGTAATCTAGGCATAAATTTCGGACAAGAAGTTTGCATTACCCAAAAGTTTGTTCAGTTTATGAGAATTCTTGTCATGTCTTGATATCCCTTTTAACATCTGCAATGTGTCTCTGTTTTTCAGATCTTGAATCAGTTCGGACCCAAGAAAACAACATGTACACGGAGGAACGACTAAGGCTGTGGCAGCAGAGTTACCAATGCCGAAACTGAATGCGAAGTCCAAGTCCACATCGCATTTTTCAGTTCCAACCCACAACTCCAGCAAGGGCTCGGGCTTCGGAAAGTAACTTTTTTTCAGATAGCATTTCACAAACGAAAGTTTCTGAGGTTTTTTTTATCATCAGAACATATACTGTAGAGCGTATAAACTAACAAAACAACATTTGCCATTTGTACTAAGTTGCTATACTAAAATACTGTTGGATTGGATAAGAGAGGCAGATTATCTTGGCGTACATGTAATTTATTTCATTAACAAGGCATGGGTATAGTTTTCTTACAGAAGAGTCGCTTTTAAATCCTTACAGTTTGTATACTTTGTTGGAAGCGCTGCACAGGTGTCGTCTTTGAAGCTGGGTGATATATTCCTGAAGTGACTAAATTGGACAGCTATCAAACATATCTCGCCAAAATATCCTATTAATTTGCTGTCAAACTTTTTAATGACTTGAACTGTTATTATAATGTATTTTATGTGTCTGTTTTTTTCTTCTCAGGCAATTTTCAAGTGCAGGTACTGTGTACGCTGCAGAGGCTGGAGGAAGGGCAGCAGCAGCTGACGCAGTTGGTACAAAAACTGCTTTTGTCCAAATTGGGAGCGGCCGTTGATGTGGAAGACCTGAGGGAGCCGTTTACCGAACCAGTGAACACCAAATTTTCATTCAAGGTAGATTAAGATACCTTCATTCAGGGGCAATGCAAAAATCCTAAAACTCATATTGAGACCAAATTTGACCATTTCAGCTAATAATGGAGAAACTTTATCAGCGACATAACAGTTTTGTTGGTGCATCTTTTTGGATTGAATTGCCAACATCTTGTTGAGAATGCAAGACAAAGTTGTATAGGTCTGTAAATTTACTACTTTTTGTAAGGATGCTGAAACCGATGGCCCGAATTCACAAAGGAGGTTTGAGCTCAAACCTTGGTTTTCGTACGTCATATGACGCGTTTTACGCGTTTTTTACAAACCTGGTTTGTAAAGAACAAAAGGAGGTTTGGCGAAACAAAAGGAGGTTTGAGCTCAAACCTTGCTTTGTGAATTCGGGCCAATGTGTGTGCTGCCAAACTCTCTTATAACCTTGTCTTCCATATTCATAGACCCTTAAATTTGAGTATTCATATTTGCCTGTTAATAATTCATATCAACTAATTTCTATCAGTTTATTGTAAATAGCTTTTTGTAGATTGTTCATGTGTTTTGTGTTGATTTTATATTTGAAGTAAGATGCAAGGTCCAATGCAAGGCTTCTGGGAAATCTTGACCTGCCCACTTAATCTTTGGTCGATCAAAAGGACAATTTTGTACTCGGATTTAAAGGGGAAATCTACCCTAGAAATTTCACTGCTTCAATCAAAGGAGACAAATTTGAACAAAATTAAAAATAAGAAATGGGCAAACTCGGTAAGGAAAACAAAGTAAGGAAACTACACTTTTTTTACATTTTCTAGTAAATTACTCTCGGCTATTCAAATTGACAATGCTGATGACATCTTGAGTAGCTCTAAATTCACTTTGTACACAAAATTTCACATTTTCTAACCCCCATAGTCAAAGCATGTTGTCTAGAAAGCTATTCATCATTAGTAATCTGAACATACTCTGATTAAAAGCTGTGGAAATGTGTAACTTTAAGGAAAATTTAGAAAATATGAATGTACAAAGTTGATGGATAGCTACTCACAGTTGGTGTCATCATTGTTGCCAATTTGTAGAGCTGAAAAGAGTGTAGTTCCCTTGTGTTTTTTTGCCGTACTTTCACTTGAAATGTGACTTCTTAAAATAGTCACATTTTTATCACTTGTAGAAGTTGATGAGAAAGTAAATACATGTACTCTTTTGAATAGTTATAATTTGCACCGGATGATGAAGCTAATCCTGGGTGGAGGCAAGTTAAATCGGTTATTCACATGTATTTAATGATAATTTGTGACATTTTGTTAAAAGGTTCTGGTGAATTTATTCACATTGAATTTGATATAGTACACAAAAAATTAAATCCACTATTTGGTTTTACCAAAGATCAAGACTTATTGTAGAAAGATTTCTTAATCATTTGCTGGGGCATCTTTTTGGCATGAATTGCCAGGTTCTGTAAATAACTCAAATTGCTTTTATAAAGTGTGTTACCAAAGTTGCTATATGTGTGCTGCCAAATTATTGACACTATTCAAAGTATTCATTTTATCTTGCCTTGTATATTCATAGAGACATAGACCCGTGAATTATATGAGTATTCATATTTGCCAGTTAATGAGGCATATCTTCAACTCATCTATCATTTTCTTATGTTTTATTTGTAGATTGTTCATGTGTTATGTATCTATAGTTTTAAAGGGATAGTTTAGTATTGGTCAAACTTAACTTTAAAACCAAAACCTGCACCATCACGGTGCAAAGTAATAATTACAAACGGCCAAGTAAAGCCCCTGTTATTATCAAAATGACCTGTTACTTTCAGTTTCTGCATTTAATTTTTGTTAAAATACTAATTAAATATCTATATCCATTGCTTTTTAAAGAACTATTCAGATTTTTTTTCTTCAAAGTAGTCTTCAAGCATTTTTAATATTTTGAATAAAAATATATTTATGGATATTTCAGCCGTTTGTGAACCGATATATTGATCAAAAAACAATTTTATCTGAATATTAGAATTGTATGTTCTTTCGGGGGCACTTCGGGAAATACCAATACTCTTTTTCAAATATACATGATGTACTGTATTGCCAAGCCTTTGTACATATTTTGTAAATATGTTTGATAATAAATTCATAAAATCAATCAAATACATGTGTGACCTAGCGTTTATTAAAAATTCACTGTATATTGGACGTTCTTAAAAGGTTTTCTGAACGTTCTTAAAACGTTTCCAGGACGTTCTAGACGTTCTTAAAAGGCTTACTGAACGTTTTAAAAACGTTTCCAGGACGTTCTAGACGTTCTTAAAAGGTTTTCTAAACGTTCTCAAAACGTTTCCAGGATGTCCTGGACGTTCTTAAAAGGTTTTCTGAACGTTTTCAAAACGTTTCCAGTACATTCTACACGTTCTTAAAAGGTTCTCTTGGACATTCAAGACGTTCTTTAAACGTCCTGGAAACGTTCTAGACGTTCCTAAAAGGTTTTCCGGACGTTTTTAAGGTTCTTAAAACGTTCTTAAAACGTCCCAAACGTCCGACAGGTTTTCTGCAGGTCCTTGCACTTAAAAGCAAATCTATAAAAGGTTTTTTATTGGTTCTAAAAACGTTTAGAAAACGTTCAAAAAACGTCCATTTGGAACGTTCCAAAAAACGTTTTCAACCTACCACAAATAGACGTCTTTAGAACGTTTTCACAAAACGTTTAGGAAACCAATTTGGAACCTTTTTAGAACGTTCAGAAAACGTCCAATTGTTACTTGGGCTTCCCCTACAAAAAATGATTGTTTTACTACATTCTCACATGAGAGAACATTCTGGAAGACATGGTATTGTCTTTGTTTGGTATGGATTTTGCTTCAAGCCTACAACACTGAGTTCTGATTTCCCACAGCTTTTGAAGACACCCTATATAATATTACTCCCAATATATACCGGTAGATCATGAAGAATTTATTACATGTTAAACTATAAATTTCAGTATTAATGGCAGCACCCATATAGAACAGAATGTCCTTCAAAATGCAAAATGAATGATGGATGTCTGTGCAGTGTGAGTTTTCAACCCAAACCGGTTAAAATAGCATTAAGTAACATATTTTTGGCAGTTAACATTGTCACGAAGAATTTATTACATGTTAAACTATAAATTTCAATATTAATGGCAGCACCCATATAGAACAGAATGTGCTTCATTTCAACTTCCTAACAAGCAAGAATCAGCTAGAGTTGACAGTGTGGCATTTGTCTGGTGTTTTGATAAAGTTTTAGTATATTATACTCGTCATAATACTAGGAACATATTGAAGCTAACATCTTAAGTATTCAACAAAGGCCCTAATTCAACCAGTCCACTTTTCATTCTTGAGTTACAAAAATGGCACACAAAACATAAAATATATAAAGGGTATGAACAATTTAGTTTTAACTGTACAAAGTCGGCAACAGTTCAGCAATTACTAAAGCTATATGGTCACAAATCAGAGCAGCGACCGACCGATCAGTAGCCTGCTCGGTCGCTGCTGGAATTAAGCATCGCCCAGCAATTAGGTCAGTGCCCGGGCGGCGACTTTGCGTTTTACACCCTGGCCTGGACCTTTTCCCAATAAATTTCAAGGAACCGACTGGGAAAAGTCTATCCATGACAAGATATTGCGCGCGCACGTAGCTCTTCTGCAATGCTCAACGTACGTCCTATATGTCCAGTGTCGCGGTACGCGGTACATGTACTTTTGTATCGAGACGTACGAGTGAGAGAAAAACAACGAATAACAACAGAAGGAAATAGAGAAAAACAATAAATAATTAAAGAACAGAGAGGAAACAAAGAATGTCATAAGCAGAGAGAGAAAACAAAAACTAACTTGAAAGAAAGAGAGAAATTAGAGAAGGAATTAATCAAAGTAAGGAAAGAGAGAAACCAAATAATATTATGGTTTTTGTGGTTTAATTCCGCCTTCTTCAGGGTTTCAATTTTTGACGTGTAGCCTACTTTCAAACCATTTGCTGATTCGGACCCCCCCCCCCCCTAACACACGTGTACACATATCGACACATACACAGACTACACTCGACATAATATGTGTAATGGTAATGTAATACATAAACTGTGATTTAAATATTGCACTCGTACCATTTTCTATTATTGTGGGATCACGTCTTTCATTTTTTAAATTCATGTCATTTGTTTCTAAGACCTAATTTCTCTAATTCTCTTGACCCCTCTCCCTTCATATTTGTTTTCTAAGACCTCCCCCCCCCCTCATCTCTCTTCATATTTGTTTTCTAAGACCCATTTCTCCCCCCCCCCCCCCCATCTCTATTCATATTTGTTTTCTAAGACCTCTCTCTCTCGACCCACTCTCTCTCTCGTATGTATTTCTCAGACCCCTCTTTCTTTCTCTCTCATTAACCCCCTCTTCATATTTGTTTCTAAGGCCTCTCTCTCTCTCTTCATATTTGTTTCTAAGACCCCCCCCCCCCTCTCTTTCTCATTTCTTGATATTTGTTTCTAAGACCTCTCTCTCTCTCTAGCTCTCGATTCATGATATTTGTTTCTAAGACCCCCTCTCTTTCTCACTTCTTGAATTCATATTTGTTTCTAAGACCTCTGTCTCTCTCTCCCTTTCTCTCTTTCTCATTTTAAATTCATGATATTTGTTTATAAGACCTCTCTTTCTCTCTTTTTCCATTCATCACTTTGTCTAGTGCATACCTGCCAACATTTGAAAATGAGAATTAAGAATTTTTAGCGCGGTATGTCTTCGAAAATAAGAAATCTGTACACTTAACAGGCGTTCGCACATGCAGCGGCAGTTTTTAATCATGCAGCCCTTCAACGCACGCAATACGTGAACTCTAACATCGCGTCAAAGGATAAAACAAGCTTAATTTGGCTTAAGCAACACCAACACCAAAAAAAAAAAAAAAAAAAAAAAAAAAAAAAAAAAAAAAAAATCGAAATTTTGAGAAAAAAAACAGAATATTCCGGATTTTGGGGTCCTAAAAATCCAGAAAATGGAATATTCCGGATTATTCGGAAGGGTTGGCAGGTACGCTGAATTCAATTCGGTGTAGCGATTGTCCAACACAGCTCAGTTACGGCAACATTTGACATGCATCGATCAAACTATACACAGTACATGTACGGTACGCCTCGCCATCGCTGCCCCACTCCACTGGCACCGACTCACCTCCGGTACCGCACTGCAGCGTGCGTTCACTCTGTATACCATAGTCCCGACACACTTCTTCCAAATACTGGATTAGACAATTGAAAAGTTAGTACGGTACGGTAAACTCCATGAATCCATCAAGCAAGCGTATTCCTTGGGATTGGAAGACATTATAAGTAAAACTGACAAACTTTTTGCAAGTTTAGTAACCATTCACGATCACACGTCGAAGCTAACCCGTTCGCTCAAAATTTATCGCTGGTGAAGTGTGCATGTTCTTGTACATCGCTTGTATTGGTGTGTGTGTGTGTGTGTGTACGTGTATGGAGAGTACATGCCAGGCCAGACGCTACACACACACACACATAATGCTGATCTCTACGCTGTAGATCAGTGGCACAAATACGCTGCAAAATCGTCATTACAAGCCAAATGAGCTTCCGCGGCCATCAACACACACACAGTATACTATACGAGAGCTCTCACACAAATCGCGGCAAATGGTAATACAAGCCCAATTTGGCTTAAATTTCCAAAATGCGGAATCTCCCGCATTTTAAGGTCCTAAAATTCCAGAAAAGCGGAATATCCCGGAAAATGCGGGAGGGTTGGCAGGTATGCTAGTGTAATGTACAGACACATAACATATAAAGGAAATTATACACCAGTTTTACATGAATTCATTTGCACTTTATTTACTGCTTTACATTCATATACTTTTTTTTTCGTGACGTACGTCTGTGCATGTACGATTCGATTTGGAACTGGCGCGCCCGATCGAGGAGCGTAGACTAGACTCATTCAAGCAGTTTCATTGCTATTTACCGGGAAAATGTCCAGGCCAGGGTGTAAAACGCAAAGTCGCGCCCGGGCGGCGACCGCCCAGGCACCGAGCGTATTTTGGGCGGAGAGTGACAAAATGAGCAGACGCTGCCCAAATTTTAACTCCGCGCTAAAATTTCAGCGGCGACCGAGCGATGCCCTAAAAACGAGCGGGCTACTTTTGGGTAATGTGACCATAGCATAAACACAACCAAATGAAAATTCAGTCTCCCCCTCCCCCTCCCGCGCAAAGCGCGGAAGCTTTTAAGTTTCACAAGATTATGAGAGAAAGAAGACGATTGGCTGTACAGTTCTCGACTGTTAATCCTCGTCTGGATTCAGGTTCCTCCTCTCGCGCGGAAGCTTTTAATTTTCATTAAATCATTAGAGAAGGAAGACGATTCGTAGTACCGTTCTTGAAAATAATCCTCATCGGAATTTAGTTTTCCCCCTCCCGCGCAAAGCGCGGAAAATTTTATGATTTATTAAATTATTAGATAAATGAGACGATTCGTTGTCGAGTTCTCGACTCTTAATCCTCGTCTGAATTTAGGTTCCCCCCTCCCGTGCGAAGCGCGGAAGCTTTTAAATTTCCTTAAATCATTAGAGAAAGAAGACGATTCGTTGTACCGTTTTCGAAAATAATCCTCGTCTGAATTTAGATTCTTCCCCAACACCCTCCTCCCGCGCGTAGCGCGGACGCTTTTATGTTTCATTATTATTTTGTGAGACTGGCACGTCACTATTTGGTGTGGGGTCCAGGGGGCGGAGCCCCAAAAAATCAGGGGTTTTAGGCATTAAATTACCGTCAGATGAGCATCTAAGGGCCCGCCGTAGGGCCCTAGGTGAAATCCAGGGGGCAGAGCCCCCGGAAGCTTAGGGGTTTTAGGCATTAATCACGGTCAGATGAGCATATTTTGATGCCTCATTATTTTTCAACACTGGCATTTAACTATTCTTTCTTTCTTGCTCTCATTCTGTTTTATTTCTCTTTAATATACTTTTTCAAAAAAGTAGGGGGGGGGGGGCTCGGGGCTCCCGATCCCCGCCGTACCTCGGGCTCTGACATGTAGGAATCTACTAAAAAGTGAGGAAAAATCTCGGAAATTATGTCATTTGAGCATTATTTGTAATCCCCCGTTGTGGAATTAGAAATAAACCACGTTTGAATTTGATTTCCCCCAAGCCCCCCCCCCCCCCTATCAGTACGCCAGTATCTCCTCTTTTCCTTTTTTCTTTCCCTTTCCTACCTTCTCTCTTATTTTTTTTATTGGGGGGGGGGGGGGGGGGGGGGTCAACAGCCTGGGAGGCAAGGCCCTTTCGCCTTCCCCGATCTCCTTCTTCCCCCTTTTCTTTTCTTCTTCCTCTTCTTTCTTTCCCTTTCTCTCTTCTTTCTCTTTCCCTTCTTTTCCTTTCTTCTCTCTCTTTTTTTTTTTTTTTTTTTTTGCGGGGGGGGGGGGGGGGGGGGCCAAGGCCCGCTCGGCCCCCCCCCTGGATCCGCGCGTGGCCAGAGGGCATTAGCTCGGTGTTTAAGTATATGACCTAACCATTCTAGCTTGAAACAGGTTTCTTATACAATTACACTTGTAGATGATTTTGACATTTTTCCCCCAAGTGTATTCATGAAGAAGAGATACGAGAGCAACCACCATTTTGGCTGTATAATACGATTATTTAAGCAAAGTAGAAATATGTGGTAATGCAGAAGCGGCAAAATTTCAGTTTCCCACACACTAAAAAGTTTTAGACTGTATTTTCAAGCAGTTGATCATATCTATTTACAATGTACCAGTAATCAATTTTTTTAAATAAAAAAGGTTTTAAAAAATTCATTTAAAATGGCTAAGTACTCATAAATAGTGGTAGAAGATTCCATATGAATATAATTATTATCATGGCCTCTCAACACATATAGACAATACAAAGCAAACAGAATTGCAGCATAATCATGTTTTTGACATAATAGTTACATGAAATTAGCTGCGGCCCCTACATGAATGTTTAAAAATTCTTAAGAGCATTCAAACAAATTTACAAATCCAGTTACACACCCCCCCCCCCCCCCCCCCCCCCCAAAAAAAAAAAAAAAAAAAATCGTAATTTTTTTATTGATTATAATTATGAATTTTATATAATACACATATTACATTGATCCAGGCTCAATTTAACTTGGGCTTTTAGTATTCAATGAATACATTCGCAGTGCTTGGCTATTTTAATAAATTGCCCACAGACCCTGTATTTCATTGGGGGGGGGGGGGGGGAGGGGCTAAACTAGAGTCTTATATATATCTCTTAAACACAATTTCCCAATGAATAAGACATAGCTGTTTTCATATTGAAAATACATGACTTGTTAGAATTACTTATGAAAAGTGAATAAGACATATACAAATTTAAAAATAGGTAGGAAATATCACTATACATGTAGGTGAGCTCATGAAGTACATTGCTTATGCCTTGACTGCATGGGTCTGTAACATCTTCTCCATGTTTCCAAATGGAAACTCTACCAAGACACACATGGCCAAAGCACAGGAATGCGCCAGGAGCACAATTAAGGCCGCAAACAGGTGACTCTGTGATGGTCAATAACAAAGAAGGAATCAAGATATTATTACGTAGAGGTATCATGGTGTAGTGGATACATCACCAGACCGTGGATCACATGGTTCACGATTCCAGTCCCGCCGTAGGAATAATCTCCTTTGGCAAGACATTGAAGCCCAAGTCCACTCCAAAAATAACTTACCTTCAATAGAAGCAGAAAAATCAGACTAACCAATCAAAAAAAGTCTGACCAAAATCGGAAAACTAATAAGAAAGTCATGAATTTTTAATGACATTCAGAACTTTGAAGATCACTAGACAAATTGGCAACTCACTCATAAGTCTGTGACATCACGTTCTCACTATCCACTAATTATTTTCTTTATATTGACGATATAAACTTCCTATTTTCTCCTTAAGAATCTCATTTCTTCACACCAGCATCCAAGTTCGATTAAAAGTAACATTTTTTTGTGTGGATGCACTAATAAAGAGTAATTTTTTTTCCAGTTAAATCATGAAAACTGTAAATTTTGATAAACTATTTATATAAAAATCAATAATTATGAATATACAATATTCAGAAAATGGTATAAATTCTTCAAAGTTCATAAAAGATTTTGTGAAATGTCATGCACGCAATATGATACAAATCATATAACCTTGGCAAAGGCATGGGGAAATCAAGTTTAAGGGAATAAAAAGGGAAATTAATGGGATTAAACCATATAGAGCAATTGATAAATAGTGAGGACATGACGTCACAAACTGATAACCATCTTGGCAATTTGTGTTGTGATTCTTATTGTTCCATAATTTTACAAACTTTTTCAAAAATTCATCACTTTCTTATTAGTTATCGTTTTGCTCAAACTTTTTTTGATTGGTTTGTCTAGTTTTCTGCTTTTATTGGAAGCAAGTCATTTTTCGAGTGGACTTGTCCTTTAATATACATTTGCCACTCTCCAGCCAGGTGTTAAATGGGTCCCCGGTAGGATGTGAATTTTAATACTGTTGGATTGGCCTGGCTTGAATACTCCCCCAAGAGCGACCATGTGCACTATCGTGTGCGGTTTAGCAATTAAATCCAATGACGGGCCGGGGTAATAATATTTACAATGTAAAGCTCTTAGAAACGTAGTATTAAGCGCCATAAAAATGTTACTACAGTCAAACCTGTCTATAGCGACCGCCCAAGGGAAACACAAAAAGTGGCCTTTGTAGACAGGTGGTCTTTGTTGACAGGTTCCTTTAGTACATGATTTGATGAGAAACCATTTTCAAGGGAAACAACAAATGTGGCCTTTGTAGACAGGTGGTCTTTGTAGACAGGTGGTCACTAAAGCAGGTTTGACTGTATATCCTTATTGCTTTAGCTTTTGATCTGTGGCTCAACAACTCTGGGACAAAGCCGTACATTTCAAAGTGATTGCACTTGAGTTGACTGCTTGAAATACATCTGGGCCTCACTACATAAAACTGGCTGTTGAGTGATGTTGCTATGGTAGTTAATATTGATGGCAAATTTACCATCATTCGTAATGCAACAGGGCCCAGAGCATCGTTTCATGAAACTGTCATATACAGTGCGTCCCAGAAAAAACGAAACCCAGAAGTATCGATGTTCTATCATAACTTACTCACAACTATAATTAATGAATGATACATATTTGGAAAGCTTAGAGTCTCCTCTTTCATGTGATGCTACTCAGATGAAGCATATGTCACGCATGAGTGATTAAAATCAATTTGAAGGAAGGAAACCAAAAAGACATTTGGCGGGCGGTATCTGAATTTCGTAGAAAAATTCCCATATCTAGAAAAATTCCCATATCTAGAAAGTTGAGTTTCTGCCCTTTCATATGACACCTCAATCAGGAAAAATGAGCAAGGAATGACAAAGTTCTGTTTGTTTAAAGTAGTGCTTGCATTTCCATAATTTTATTAAACGAATTCGTTTTCACTGGCTGCCTGCCGTATCAATAAACGAAATTAACAAAAGACTTAACTCGGTTTCGTTGACATTCAGCCGTAGACGAGAGTCTTCATGCATGGCTGATTGTCAACGAAACGGAGTTAAGTCTTTTGTCAAATCTGCTTTTTGCTACGGCAGGCACCCAGTGAAAACGATTTCGTTTGTTAAAATTATGAAAATGTAAGGGCTACTTTAAACAAACAGAACTTTGTTATTCCTGGCTCATTTTTCTTGATTGAGGTGTCATATGAAAGGGCAGAAAATGAACTTTCTAGAAATATGAATTTTTCTTTGAAATTCAGATACCGCCCGCCAAATTACTTTTTGGTTTCCTTCCTTCAAATTGCTTTTAATCACTCATGCGTCACATATGCATCACGTGAGTAGCATCAACTGAAAGAGGAGACTCTCAGCTTTCCAAATATGTATCATTCATTAATTATGGTTGTGATTAAGTTATGAAAAAACATCGGTACTTCTCGGTTTCGTCTTTTTCTGGGACGCACTGTATAATAGTACACGTTTACCAACATCCCATTGAAATACGTGTTAAATTCAATTCACGCATTTCAATGCGTTGTCAGCAAAATTATACTTGGTTTCGTGAAACGCTGCCCAGAAACATATCCTAATCTTTCTTTACATTTCATATTGGGCTACCCCAACCAAACTAGACCTCTATACGATCGTTTCCCGATCAGCTCGACCTTTACTCGAACAATACACGATCGCTCTACGATCGCTTGCCTACTCGATCACTTTACAATATTTTTTGACATGCCAAAAATTGTTGTGTAGGAAGCCAGATCGATACCGATCAAGGTAGACCGACCCCGATCAAGGTAGACCGACCCCGATCGCCCTTTCCGACCGAGCCCGACCAGGCCAAAATAGCTTGATCGGGCTTGGTCGGGTTGGTTTGATCGGCAGTGGGAACCTACCATAATGGGCCAGGATCTTGTTTGCCATGGAAACAGCAAAGACCAATATCATAAAGACATTCAAGAAATCAACTCAAGCTAGGCAATTTCATTACCCCATTCTAAATAGAAATCCTGGGGGGTGTTTCATAAAGCTGTTCGTAAAGTTTGTAATAATAGTAATAATAATAATAATAATTCAACATTTTTATATAGCGCACAACACATAGGCAAAATTGCATGTCTCTATGCACTTTAAGAAAAGAAAAGAAAAATGCACTGAGTTCATGATTCTGATTGTTTATGAAGTGGTGAAGAGATATGTGGTTTTAAAGGATCCTGTGCTTTGTATAGGATCCTGTGTATATGAAGAGCCAGATAGCATGCCCCCAGTTTTTTCTGATATTGTCAATAACCTCAATTAAATTATGGCAAAAAATATACTGTACATTAAAAATGTTTGTTATCATTTAAAGAATGTTAATCTACATCTGCACAGTTTAACTTTAGTTGATGTATTTAATAATGATTGAGCATCCCATCTGGCTTTTCATATACAAGTCGTTCGTAAAGTCATGCGTAACTTTACGAACAGATTTATAAAACACCCCCCCCCCCCCTGTACAGATTACTTAATATGTCATTGTCATGTCTGTACATTTCAAACGGTGCTGCACATGGCTACTGGAATAGGGTAAGTTTGGTGTTGCAAAGTCTTTGTAATTGCATTAAAGCCTACTATCATTACGAGACCAACCAGTCCAAATAATTCACCCCTTGCTGAAAATCATTTAATTGTATTTTGAGTTGTTGTTAAGTTGTGCATAAATAAATAATAATAATGGGTTCTTGTATAAATAGCACACATGTCAGTCAGATTTGACCCTCCTGGCGCTCCCGATTATTACCCTGGCTTTAGCACGGCTGCCATCGGCGCTCTGGCATTTCAAGGAATAAATTCCTACCAGGTACCCATTTACTTCACCTGGGTGGAGTGTGGCAAATGTAGATCAATATCTAATTGCCAAAGGACATTCAAGTGCGGCGGCGGGACTTGAACCGCGGACCTTGTGATTGACAGTCCGGCGACGTATCCACTTGACCACAACACCTCTAAAGGGACTGTAAATGTCATAAAAACAAACATGATTTTTATTCTAGCAAACACTGGAATGTATTCCCCCCCCCCCTCCCTCTGAAGCCTAATTTTTACCAAAAAATAATAAATGGATAATTCAAAAGAAGCCTAGTTATTTTCTTTTTGAGTCTAGCTAGTAACCTGCTCATGCAGCTGTAATCTGAGGTCTGTGAATTTGAGGATGGTATTTAAAAAAAACTTGAATTTGCTAAGAGTAGAGACTTACCAATGTTATAATTGACCAATGAATAGGAACAGCTAAGCTGTAGCCATACAGGCTCTGTATGACGGGGTGTATAAGGTAGGTTGAATATGTCAATCGACTGAGGGGCACCCAGAAGTTCCACGACAAAATGTCATTGACCACTCCTGGAAAGAGTAAAAAGCAATGGCATAAAATATTATCATTAAACACACACAGGAGATGTCTCTCTCAACTTAACATTAACATAGCCAGCTTTGCACAGGTATTAATGACCAGTCCTGATTTTGAATTGTTATGACAATTCATGTTATATTATATACTGTTGTATAAAATACTTGTAGTATAAAATATAACATAAGTTTCAGAATAACACCCCTGAAATATTAAAAACTGATGCTTAAGTTTATTGTTTGCTGATCACCAGAAGCAGGGGTAGTTCCCATAATTGTCCAAAAGATTACGCCAAATTTCTTCATTTTTACAGTTCCTAAGAACATTATTTTAGACATGGAAGGGGAGTGAAATTGTCCTTATATTTTCCAATGGATATTGCACCAGCCCTCCCACAGCTCCAAATGGTGGGGCCATGGCCATTCTCTTGGTCAGCCAATGAGAAGGGTTTTGACTCTATCCTTCGAATATGAGCACAATAGGTCCACAATCAACGTCTCTCCAAGAAACAGTGCAGGAAAAATGTCTTTTCTGTCTGTTGCAGTAAAGTTGTGGAAACAGCTACCTACTATTGTGAAGACTGCTTCTTCCGTCGAACAATACAAGAAACTTCTAAAGTCCCATTTATTTTCTTACAGAGGATAATGGACCGTATTGACTGACCCTGTCTTTTTCAAGTGATATGTTATTGTTTAAGTGACCCCAAATATGTGGAACAATGTGTGCAATGCTGTGTAACTGCAAGGAAAACGTGCTATATGAAATAACTTTTAGATATTTATATGCCCCACTCAAAGATTCTTAGTGGTAAATGGCACCAGGACAACTGCAGATTTCTAGCTCTTCCACATACCTCCGTATCCATAATGGCAGGCGAATATGACCCAGGAAAGAGCCAGGGCCCAGGTGAAGCGGCTGAATGTAAGGTACATGATATCAGCAGCGCGAGTCGTTATGGATGCACCCCTGTTCGCATCATAGAGACCATAGACCACCGCTATGCCCAAGGCGCTAGCAATGGCCCAGCCAGCTGCTACAAATACCTAGGTATGAAATTACATAATTATATAAACATAAATGTATATGTTGGACAATCATTTTATATCTATCATGGTGATTTTGGGTTAATCAGTCTACAATAGTATAAAAATGAACTGTTTGTCTACTGCCTGTGTCACAGTCGAGAATCTCCAGATAAAAACACAAATATACAAACAACAAGACTTTTGAGTGGCAAATGAAACATCTGGGTTGTTTTAAACACCAAATTGTGAATTCATTTTGTCTCTCTCTGTATCCTCTGTTTGTTTTTTTGAAATACAATGAATAAAAAAAGATTAAAAAAAACAAAGTCTAAAGTGAGTACGGGGAATGAGAATACAGTACATCTGAATATGCGTAACTTTATGCGCAGCCAAAGATCTGATACAGTGGAAGATTCTTATCTGTGACCCTGGCTCATCTGGAAAAACTTTACTACCAGGAGAAAAACTTTACTACCAGGGGGTAAACTGAATTGAATTAAAATGCATTTAAAAGTGATTGAAATGTAAATAGTGTCTTGAATGGTGGTGTTATTGTAAATATAGATACTTGCGCAGCTATTTTTTTAGAGTACATTTTGCACACATGGAAATCACTTAAATTAAAGGCTAAATTTTTCTTTTATCTCACTAAATTAACAGATTTTGTTGGAACAAGAATATGATCCTTCAATCACATTTTAGAATATTTTGTTGACAGATTTCTTCGAATTCAACCACATACCGGTACAGTAAAAGACTTGAAGTTTTTAATAGAACCATAAAGAAGACACGATTAGCATTTTATGCTATTTTCTGGTCCCTATTATTCATCCGAGATATTTGTTAAACATACATTTATTATTATTATCATTATTGTTATATTACTGTATTTAAACGTTTGGATAATAAAAACCTCAACTCGACCACTCTGAGCTAATCGCCTTTCGTTCTTGCTCTCTAGCACTTAAACAAGAGAAGTCTTTTATCATTTGGGTGTACTTACTGGAGATAGTTTAATCTTCTTGTTTCCAATATCATACATGACGTAGCCCAGGGCCATGCCCACAAGGTATGGTGGGATACGACAATATGGTTTGTTGTAGACGATTCCCTGGAAATCTGTTGCAAACATGTATCCAGTACCAGGAGCAGTGACCGCCATACCTCCCGTTCTGATTTTGAATACACAAGGACACAATAAGATTACTTGAACAATACATTTATGTTAAAAATAACAAATTTGTATCATTTGATAATAGGTGGAAAAACATCGTGTTGCTTTTAAAAAAAAAAATTATCTTGTATAATCAGCTATAGTCTTGTTTTTTATTCTATTGGTTATATTATGTATGTATATTCACATATGTTTTGTTATGTTTTGTAATGTCGAAAGCAATATTGAATAAAGATGATTTTATTAAAGAAAAAAAAAAAAAGATTACAGAACGCAATTCAATATGGTGAAAAAAGGCAGCATGAATAACATATATGTAGAATTCTAGACCCCAGCAAATAATGAATTCATATTTTCACCTAAGCTAAATGGTAGTAAAATCATTTCAAGGGCAATCCAACCCTTACAATAATTATATTTATATGAAAAAGGAAAAACAAGAAAAAACATAGTGGTGGAAGTTTGAAATAATTCAGACTAATAATATTGGAGTTATGAATGTTTAAAATATGAGATCACTAGCAAAGTCTATGCAAATGGATTGTGATAGAGTCATGGCCATTGCAGCTCTCCTGTATGACATTTACAAAAATATCATAAATTTATATTTCTAATAAGCGTCTTCTCCCTTCGTACACTACTCAAAATATGTTATGGATAAAGCATATCATTATTCATCTAAACAGGACCAGCCCTCCTGAGTCATAAGTTTTGAAAAATTGACATTTTAGTCATTGTGTGTGTTAAAACAAATAAAATGGGAAAGTTGTCCCATACCTTCATCACTGTGACATTATCGATTAGGCCAAATTTGAAGTGCCCACACATATAGTGATTACAATTTCTATTTGACAGATAAGTTGTCTGTTCAGGTTGGATTTTCCTCTTAACATTTTACATGGTTCATTTTCAATGCTCTACCCAAAACATCCCTGGAGGGTTGAATCAATAAGTAAATGACTTAATGTACATTGTATGTAATATCGCTGATGAATAAGCCAATAAGGTTTATTTTCATTATTATTCCTTAAATTTACATTTTTTTACCAAAGCAGCCCAAACTTCATGTATATTTCAATAATTTCATTAATGCAATGTTTGATCCATTAAAAATCAAGTTACATAACAAGGAAAGCCATTTATTTTAGTAGTTAATTTATTGGCAAAGAGAATTCCAGAAATATTGTGACTTCATAATTCACTACAACAGTATTTTTCTTTTACTGCTACATTGTCAAAATAAAAAGCCTCTGAAAACTATATAGATGAGAAGCAATATTGTTGAAAAGTTGAAAAAATAGCAAATTTTGAGGTAAAACCAATGATTTTGAATATCTCAATGTGTTTTTTTCTTTTTAAATTCCTGGCATCGAACGCAATATAGTCATGAAACAGAAATGGATCCAATGTGTGCAGAAACTTATGCCCATTCTACTCATACATCAGGGGGGTGTTTCACAAAGATTCCAAATCGAACTTTACTTTCAGTTGGACTTAAACATTATGGATAGCCATTTGTAGCCTTAAAATAAAATATATTCAAAAGCACAAAAAAAATCCAAAAATGTTAGACTTTTCATAAACTCCACATCAAAAACATGCATCTCCTTGAAAATAGAAAATATGAATGATTTAAATCAACATTGTGAGCGTTTTTAAAATAGCTTTTATAAAATATTTCAAAGATGCTAACGGCTCTGCATAAGTTAAATTTAGGATCTTTGTGAAACAACCCCCTGGCATATTTTTAAGGTCTCTGAAAAAATGTGTCTCACCCTTGGGCTAGAAGTGCAGCCTTGAAGTCCGGATTCTGATAACAAAGCACTGCAGTTGTGATGAAACTAGCCACACATGTGGTGATTAAGACTACCATTCCTTTAAGACCGTACCTATATGAAACAAAGAAAATATACACTCAACATTTATTTGTATGAATAATGGATTTCGTAAAGTCTCACGTTAATATATATGAAAGATTTTCCAGCAAGTTCCTCATTCTTAACAATATTGTCATTATCCTATGACCAGGGATATGTGAGTTTAAACTCTCATATGCGCTGCTATGACCATGCAATCTTAATGCAGTAAAATGCATTTCCTCCACGGAATTATAATCTATGACTTAACATTCTATTCCGAATTTTTTTTAAACTAATAATGGTCTTTATACCCTGATTATTACTATTTTTTTTACTGTTGTGTTTACAATTTTACCATTTGTAATAGTATATGCATATATCGGTATGTGATTTTGAATGTGTCTTTAAATTGTGAACAATTCATCCCCTCGCTGCTTTTACACACTCTCTTTCAACCAAAAATAAATAAAATACATATTAAAAAGAAACACTGATTAAAATTAATACTTCTCTCCCGCATATAAACACCTCAGCTTGCCAAACTTTTTTGTAATGAGAAAATATGGATCGTTAATGCTTGGCCAGTTCCTAAAGCCCCACTGCACTACTTATAGCTACTTGTGCCCACTTTATAGCAAACAATTCTAATTGGTGCCTGTTGGTCCCCCATGATCCTCTTTTTGTTATGTTAATTTAGAGCTGATTTGATGAGATAACCCCGTCAGTGACCTTGCAGGGACGTCTAATCCCTTCTGGCCAAACTAGTGCAAAGGGGCTTTAAATCCTCATTTGCAACTAAGATAAACAGATATACAGTGAAACCTGCATAATTATACAGACCACTAAAGGTAGGGATGTTAGACTAAAAATTGAAGTCCATTAAATCATGACAATTTTGCACTGTATTTGGAGAACACAATTTATCATTCAATATGGAAAAAAAATGGAGTCAAAATATAAATCGATTCTCGAGATATTAATTTTTTAATATTTTTATTTAGGGGTATTTCCTGAAGTTTTTGCATAGGAAATTGCAATGTAAGCATGGCACCGAGTGTAATTTAAGTACATAGTAAAGAGTACATACCTCAACATTGCAAGCATTGTTTGATGTGCCATATCTCAAAAAATATATCTTGTTTCTCATTGAAATTTCAACAGAACTTTTCTTCATTATATTCTTTTTATCAACATTTTTAAGAGAAACCTTGAAATTAAATATATTGTTGCCATGGAAACAAAACAAAGAAAATAAGAAAATATTTAAAAAGTAATATACCGGTATTTACTTTCCAGATCAAATTGCTACTCAAAACACTTTGCATTCTAAGATAATGGCAGGGACATCTTTCCACAACATTTTTAAAATTAAAATATAAGGTTGCCATGGCAACAAACAAAGAAAAACAAAGAAAAACGAAGATTTAAAAAAAAAAATATCTCAGGAAAAATGTTTCCTGATAAAATTTGAGGATCGATTTGAGGATCTGGAGGATCGCTGATTTTCAAGTAAAGATTTTCAAATAATCAGCGATACAAATATAAGATGATATTTCAATGTAAACTTGGATTAAAATTCTGGCAGTCATGGTGGAAAAATATATCAATTCCAAGTACATGTAAAATTGCTTTTTGATAAAGGAAAACAAATATGGTAAATGTCCAGAAAACCTCTTGTAATGTTACAAATGTATCAGGAGAATAACACCTGTATACTTACAATTACAGCTGAGTCACTAGAATTGCTCATTTCTACGTAATTTCCCTCGAAACAGTGTTTAGTTTCCCTTGAAACATTGTTTTAATAATTTCTTGCATTTTATCTTTTTTAAAGAGGGAGTTTGTACACTTAGAAGAAGAGCCACATGCTGGCGCTTACAATGGAAATTTCCACGTGCGCGCACGTGGCCATTGCGGCTTGATGATAACATCACGCTTTTCTTTCATTTATACTTCCTCCCGGCATTTCACTGGTACACACATTCAACATTTCAACTTCTTTTTCTATAATAAATACTGAGTTATTGCTTTAATAATGGAGTCTTTAATTATGAAAAACTTATATTCAACGTTTGTAGTCGATCAAAATTCTCAATTTATCCATGGAAAGTAGTTTCTAGCTGCAAATATTTCGTTCGGTCCGTACGTGTTCAGCACAGAATCACCAGGGGTTGAGGGCGAGTGTCAAAACTTACGGTTGTTCAGTCTTGGGTAGTATACATCGGAAGTTTGTGATTATCTGTAGATGATCCTGAATGAATTTCCCTTAGATTTTTGGCTCAAAGATAGCTTGGATATCACTTATAAATATACTAACATTGACTTTTGCAAAAAGTTCATTTTTATAAGAAAAAGATTGCTATAAATTGGAACTTTTTTTTACTGCTCAAATATATTAAAAGTATGGGGTAGGCAAAAAAGTCAACGCGCATGGTCAACTTTTCTAAGTTTCATGAATGACATGTCCAAATTTGGGCATTGTGTGACCCCGGGATCACCTCCAGATTTCGATGTAAACATGCACAGTTTTTCAGAGAGTCACAGAAAAGCAGTGCCATGGCTGCTGCAATGCCTTTCAAACGCTTGCAAAGGGCCAATGGGCGAATTAGAGCTCATCTTTACTGCCATATTTTGATTGATTCTACGATTCTACTTGTGAAGAAAATGCTTCCAATATTGGAATACAACTTTAATCTACGGTAATTCTTAATCAATTAGTTCTTTCCTGCTGATTTTGATTTTTAATGAATTTTTAAAGATTGCATGTTTTTATTTCGACTACAATCACCGTTGGCTCGTACGCACATTGATGGCTCGATTTCAGGATTGCAGCGCGAGCGTCTGACATCCCTACTAAAGGGAGACAAGAAAAGTAGTCTTTACAGACAATTGATCTCTATATGTACAGGTTCCTTTAGTACTGGTTCAAATATGACAAATGACAAGGCACAGGAAAAGGAAAATGTGGTCTTCATAGACAGGTGGTTGCATGCTATAATGCAGGATTGACTGATTGTTACAAAGATAAATGCAGTTCATGTCAGAAACTTTGAATCAATATTTCAGTCAAAATGTTACAGGTCACATAATACTTGAATCATAGAAAATCTTCAAACATGCATAGAAAATCTTCAAACATGCATAGAGATATAGTCCTACATGTACATCCCTTCAATATTAATAGTTGTATAGAAGCCCCTTGTGTCTTACATAATAGCCCAAGAGAGTTAATAGTAGGTTAAAGGTTAGAATTATATCTCTTTCATAGTGCTTCTATCGGAGTCGCACCGATGAAAATACCGATAGAATTTGCCTGATGTAAACAAAGGTGAAACTGCCGCTTCCCATGCTGTCCCTTTTATACTGCCGGTGAAATTCACTCGCTGTGGCGAGCCCCGGCAGGAAGTGAATAGTTATTGTGCAATCGCTTGTTAGCTGCTGGCGCGTGCTTTTTTGGATTTGGCAGACAGTGCAGTGCATAGCTGGGTTCCAAAAAAGTGCCAGTACACTAGCTTTAGCCGGAACAAGATAACAACCTTAGTCCGTTTTCATCTGTGTTTTCTCCCGAACCAATTCATAGTGCCGTTTAATTGGAGTCGCACCAAAGAAAGAGAATTTCTCCTGCTCAAGATTGAGCAGGAGAATTTCATCGCATATTTCTCTTCTTTCAGCGTTTTCTCTTCAGCACCATTCATAGTGGCCGTTTCATCGGATTCGTCCGGATGCATCCGATGAAAATCAGGCCACTATGCCGAAAGGGAGATGAGTGTATATACTCATCAACAAAACATGTTTTGCTCTTGATGTAAGGGGTTCCATGTTGCTATACCATTGTCAAACCAATTAAGAGCTTCAATTTTTTCTTTAACAAATAATTATACAACACCTACGTGGATCCTTGTCATTTGATTGGAGGATTGTTGGTCACATGATATTCAATAGATGGTATATTGCACGGTCGTGCATTTTTGGTTATATGCGCCGTGCATTTTTGGTTATATGCAGACTGCGTACCTCTCAGTCGTGCGCGCGCGTATCCCTGCGTGTATCTGACGCGAAGGCAATCTCAATGTAATCGAGAAGGCTTGACTCCAACTTTAATTTATCTTTAATATAAGGAGTAAAGCATAATTTGTTGATTAACGTTCTATTAGATCTTCTTCGATGTTGTATAAAACAAATAATGAATGTTTTTCATTCGTTCAATAGTGCAAATATTTTCATTCGTTGAAAGATTAACGTTAATTCTATTCAACTCGGCTGACGCCTCGTTGAATAGAATGTTAATCTTTCAACTCATGAAAATATTCGCACTATTGAACTCATAACCATTCATTATTTGTATATTATTGCACTAAAAAACACCCCATGGACTAGCTGTAAAACATCTTCTAGAGTAGACTACTTAACGCACACGTACGCACTCGCATAGAATAGGGTGTGCATGCATGGTACCCAAGTCAGATTTGGGTTCTTGGCGAGCCCTATATGCAGAGTTTTTTGTTATCCTTTAATTTCTTCTTTACTCCTCAACTGTTTACCTATAGAATGCCAGGTAAAGTTTGTTTTTAGGTTCATTTTAAACATTCTACCTATATACAAATTATATTTCCAGGTGATTGGAAAAGGAAAAGAATTCGTTGGGCCAGTGGGACATACTTTTGTAGACACAGACCATATGAGACATTGATGGTCTGTGTCTACAAATCATTAACACCAGAAGTTTCCAGTCGTACATACCAATACATGGGAATGAGAAGAAGAGGGCTAATGATGAAAAACTGCATGTCGTTGGCCAGGTACCAGCTCCAGGCTATGCACTTCATGGATATAGATGTGATGAATTCATGCAAAATGAGTTTTAAAGATAAAGTTGAGTTCTGGTCATGTGATTGCATTGTGAAAGGGTGTGGAATCAATCAAAAAAGGTCGATCATCTAGCATATAGGCATTGGTGTGTACATCAAGGTTCTGGAATCATCAAAATTATAAGAAATTTGGCCCATGCAGTCTCGGTAAATTTACAAGTACATCAGAGAGATGTATATGGGACTACACGAACATGTGGCATAAAAATCCGTCCTGATTGTTATGCTGTTACATGCCATGTTTAGAATATGAAGGCAATTGAAGAGCCATGCTTTGCAGGGAACAAATTTTATCTGATATTCTTCCACACTTGTATAATAACAATAACGCTCACAAATTATTGGTCACCTCTTCCCAGAACTCAACCTTCTCTTTAAACAGTTAACCATGAGTCTTAGTAGTGCAGTTTAAGTCTATGTGCAGACAGAAAGAATGAAATTTAATGGAAGTATAAACCAAGGAAGGAAATGTTAAAGTAAATACAAGTTACTGAGAGTATTTAACAATAGTCCAGTAGATATATGCCATGTACATGACCTGGAAAAGTTGATAAGTACAAGGTTTTTTTGTTGATTTGTGTTCTAGATGGGTATTGAAGTAAATTCAGCCAAGTTGCCAGCTTGGCAACCTTGGGCAACTTTTTTAATAGCCATATTAGCATAATCATCTAATTAGCATATGTGCAATATGTAATATATCTCAATCCAGGAAGCCTGAAAACATGGATAATACGACTTTTCAAGGGTTTTATATACAAATTATATTTCCAGGTGATTGGAAAAGGAAAAGAATTCGTTGGGCCAGTGGGACATACTTTTGTAGACACAGACCATATGAGACATTGATGGTCTGTGTCTACAAATCATTAACACCAGAAGTTTCCAGTCGTACATACCAATACATGGGAATGAGAAGAAGAGGGCTAATGATGAAAAACTGCATGTCGTTGGCCAGGTACCAGCTCCAGGCTATGCACTTCATGGATATAGATGTGATGAATTCATGCAAAATGAGTTTTAAAGATAAAGTTGAGTTCTGGTCATGTGATTGCATTGTGAAAGGGTGTGGAATCAATCAAAAAAGGTCGATCATCTAGCATATAGGCATTGGTGTGTACATCAAGGTTCTGGAATCATCAAAATTATAAGAAATTTGGCCCATGCAGTCTCGGTAAATTTACAAGTACATCAGAGAGATGTATATGGGACTACACGAACATGTGGCATAAAAATCCGTCCTGATTGTTATGCTGTTACATGCCATGTTTAGAATATGAAGGCAATTGAAGAGCCATGCTTTGCAGGGAACAAATTTTATCTGATATTCTTCCACACTTGTATAATAACAATAACGCTCACAAATTATTGGTCACCTCTTCCCAGAACTCAACCTTCTCTTTAAACAGTTAACCATGAGTCTTAGTAGTGCAGTTTAAGTCTATGTGCAGACAGAAAGAATGAAATTTAATGGAAGTATAAACCAAGGAAGGAAATGTTAAAGTAAATACAAGTTACTGAGAGTATTTAACAATAGTCCAGTAGATATATGCCATGTACATGACCTGGAAAAGTTGATAAGTACAAGGTTTTTTTGTTGATTTGTGTTCTAGATGGGTATTGAAGTAAATTCAGCCAAGTTGCCAGCTTGGCAACCTTGGGCAACTTTTTTAATAGCCATATTAGCATAATCATCTAATTAGCATATGTGCAATATGTAATATATCTCAATCCAGGAAGCCTGAAAACATGGATAATACGACTTTTCAAGGGTTTTATATGACAAGGATTCATTTATGACACCAATTTTTATTTCTAAGTAATACAATTTGTCTTAAAAAGCATAATTAGCATAATATGTACAATATATGGACTCCATTGTCATTGTTTAACTATAAAGCCTAAGAATGGTGCAATGCAACATTGTAAATCACTTTTGAAAGATTAATCATTAATTCATGGGAAGATATTCTATGTTTATGTAGTATAATTAGCCTAATTAGCATAATCATCTAATTAGCATATATGTGAAATATGTAATAATGTTGTTAATCTTAATCCAGGAAGCCTGAAAACATGGATAATATGATTTTTCAAGGGTTTTCCATGACGAGGAATTCATTTATGACACCAATATTTATTTTTGAGTAATGCAATTGTTTTAAATAGCATGATCAGCTAATTAGCATATGTACGATATATGGACTTTATTGTCATTGTTTATCTATAAAGCCTAAAAATGGCGCAATGCACCATTGTAAATCACTTTTGAAAGACTACACATTAATTCATTAGAATATATTCCATGTAAATGTCGTATAATTAGCCTAATAGTAGCATATACACTGTACATGTATGTGCCATATGTTATAATGTTGCTAATATTAAACTAGGAAGACTGAAAACATGGATAATATGACTTTCCAGGGTTTTCCATGACGAGGGATTTAGTTGTGACACCATTTATTATTTTTAAGTAATGCAATTGGCTTAATATGTAATTATTGTACTAATATGCCTAATTAGCCTATATGTAGAATATCAATTATTTGGGTCTCTATTTAGCTTCACAAATCGTATGTCCAATGTGGTGGTTATCTTGGTCTTAAGGCAATGTTGTTGAACCTCATGAAATGTCTAGGAAATTACGAGGTCATCATACGCATTGATGGTTGGGCTTCAGTCCTAGGATTTAGAGAGACTGTCAGAAACACACTGAAGATGGTTAAAGCAGATGATAATGATGGAATTGATGATGTGGTGAGACAGGTACGTACATAGGCCAGGGATGTTGAATACAACAGTGCGAACTATGATCTGTCTATGTTAACCAAAGCCAGAACCATTGAGTGTACAAGCCCGACGTTGCTCAAGCTGGTGGCAGAATTCCTGTATAAGTCATATTATCCATGTCTTCAGGCTTCCTGGATTAAGATTAGCAACATTATTACATATTGCACATACATTCTAATTAGGCTAATTATACTACATCTACATGGAATATCTTCTCATTAATTAATAATTAGTCTTTCAAAAGTGATTTACAATGTTGCATTGCATCACTTTTAGGTTTTATAGACAAAAATAACAATGAAGTCCATAATATATCGTACACATGCTTATTAGCTCATTAATGCTCATTGTGCTATTTAAGACAATTGCATTACTTGGAACCAAAAACTGGTGTCATAAATGAATTCCTCGTCATAGAAAACCCTTGAAAAGTTGTATTATTCATGTTATTAGGCCTCCTGGATTGAGATTAGCAACATTATTACACATTGCACATATATGCTAATTAGATTATTATGCTAATTAGGCTAATTATACATGGAATATCTTCTCATGAATTAATGACTAATCTTTCAAAAGTGATTTACAATGTTGCATTGCACCATTTTTAGGCTTTATAGATAAACAATGACAATGAAGTCCATACATGTATATTGTACATATTATGCTAATTAATGCTATTTAAGACAATTGTATTACTTAAAAATAAAAATTGGTGTCATAAATGAATTCCTTGTCATATAAAACCCTTGAAAAGTCGTATTATCCATGTTTTCAGGGTTCCTGGATTGAGATAAGCAACATTTTTACATATTGCACATATGCTAATAAGATGATTATGCTAATATGGCTATTAAAAAAGTTGCACAAGGTTGCCAAGCTGGCAACTTGGCTGAATTTACTTCAATACCCATCTAGAACACAAATCAACCAAAAAACCTTGTACTTAACAACTTTTCCGGGTCTGAAAAACTTCTACAGGACTACAAGGCTTTAACATACAGAGTGAGAAAGAAACACAATTATTTGATCTATTACTGGCATGTGTATACAGTACAAACAGTACAAAGTAAATTTTGCCCAAGACCAAAAACAATTTCAAAATAATTGCCTCTCACAAAACAGTTTGAGGGATGACATCACATTTTCTTTCTTAAACTAAATGTATAAAAATTTGTTTAAATACATAATTTTCTACATAACATAAATCGCTATGTGCTCAGCAAAAGGGCACCATCATGAAATTCAATCAATTTTCTATTTTGTAGACTTGTAATGAAAGGATAAAGCAACAAAACTAAAAATGCAATCGCGGGGTGAGTGTGGCAAATGTAGACCAATGTCTTTCCACAGGACATTAGTGCCCTGGTGGGACTTGAACCGATGACCTTGTGATCGACAGTCCGGTGATGTATCTACTCGACCACGGCACCTCTACCATCATGAAATTCAATCAATTTTCTATTTTGTAGATTTTTAATGAAAGGATAAAGAACCAAATAAATAAGTTACAACCCAACATATAATTTGGAAATTGTATATTGTACCAAAATGTCCTTTTTAGTGTAGATGTATTTCAAAAAAAGGACAAACTTAAAAAGTATATTTCTAGAAATGTACTTTCTGCTAGTCTTGCAAACTTTGCGCCCTTTTGCTGGGCGCAAAAAAATGACATTTAAAACAGCATTACTAAGTACTTACATCCTGCTCCACCCCGGGAGGGACAAAGTTATTGATATATAGGAGATCTGTCCACCACCAAGCCCGGCAGAGGTCAACCTTTGCATCAAAACGATATGAAACAGGCCCATGACTCATAGTGGGTAGGAAGAACATCCAGATTAGAATCACCATAGCCAGGGGTGGCGTCAACCTGATGAAAAAAAAGAAAATAAAGGTTTTGTTCACCTATGCCGCTGTAACAGAACATAACAGAACACCGCTGCACTTCTCATCACTCGCACTAGAAAGCAAGATCACATCACTGCAGTCATCTGCACCCTTGGCTCTTAATCCCTCGACGCATCCAATTCAAGATCCTTCTCCTCACGTTCAACATCATCCATCATCGCGCACCCTCATACCTGATTGAACTGATCTCACCCAAATAGACTACCGACATGAACCTTAGATCATCATCCAGACCCCAGCTCGCACCCACAACCGCTATGGTCACAGGGCCTTCTCAGTCTGTGCCCCCACTCTTTGGAACACTCTCCCCGCCCATATCCAGGACTCACCCACCGTTGACATTTTCAAAAAGAATCTAAAAACTCATCTATTCCAAAAATACCCAAATAAGTATAAAATAAGTTTGAATTAGTATTACAATGCCTATACCTACACAATACATTATGTCTTTTTAAATTGTTGATATTATTAATATAATATTATATGTTAACTTTCCAAGGAATTCACATGTTATGTTAATTTCTTTAGTAATGTAAATTTGTTAAGTTATGTTAGTAACATTTTGTTTTCTTGGTAATTGAAGTAATGTTAATTCCATTAGTAGTATTGATTGTTCTTGAAGTAATCTTGATTTGTGTACAGCGCTTTGAAACTTTTATGTCACACGCGCTATATAATTTTTTTGTATTATTTATATTATTATAAACTGGAGAGGTTTTTAAGCATACTTTAATACCAAAACATACAGCACTTTACACTTTACCCTTCCATCCCCACTTGCCATTCATTTAGTACACAAAAAGATGAAACTTTCTTTAAAAACTGCAATAGTTTCCTGTGGCATACGTTGGTTTAGTGGTGGTTATTTTACCTGACTGATAAGAAAGCTTAAATGCTTGTTCGTAAGCAACCAAAGGACCGATGGCTTTAGGTCCTCTCTGAGGGACCTGGTAATGAAGATTAATGCCTTACCAAAGAGCACTAGGGCATCGACTTGGTTTTGAACACGAACCTGTGAATGAGCGTCAAGAGGCTTTGATGTTTGGCCAAGTAACTTTTTATTCAGATGATAAAAATTGTGATAAAATAAAAAATATGATAAAAATTTTACTTTGTAATCAAGAAACTACATAAAATATAGAATTAAGTGTGCGGGCACCTTGCTACCTAATACATGATTTATATAAACAAAACTAGAAATGCGATCGTTGGTTGAGTGTGGCAAATGTAAATCAATGTATTGCCAAAGGACATTTATGCCTTGACGGGACTCGAACCTATAATATATATAAATCATTATGTGCGGTCAATTTGATACACGGATGTCATGAGATTTGGGCATCACGTTGCCAAGAATTATCCCGTTTCTAAATGTTGCGAGCAAAACATTATGCACCAATGGACGGACCTATTGGCATTGTGCAACACAATGGCTTAGCAAAGTCACCAATTTCTGGTTTTGTTTAGCTCTATGACAAAACTTTTATCACCGTTATAGATTAATCTTGCATGGGAAACAGTTTAATATTCTTGAAGTCTTTGGTTTATCTACGCCATGAAAAATCGCGGTACTGGGATATTATTTGTATGGCATAAATAAAACAAGTTAAAGGGGAAAATTCATGGTCTACTTGAAAAGCTAAACAGAATACATTACCATCTATGGGGAGTGTTTCACAAAGTCGAACATAACTCTAACTTGGACTTAAATATTATGGAGGGGCCATTTGTAGTCTTAAAATAAAATTTATTCAAAAGAAAGTATTTTAGACTTTGCATAAATTCCACATCAAGAACATGAAATCTCCTTGATAATAGAAAATATGAATGATTTGAATCAACATTTTATACCTTTTAAAATATCTTGTACAAAATATTTTCAAACATGCTAACAGCTTTCCATTAATTGTTAAAGTCCAACTAAGATAAAATTTCAACTTAGGATCTTTGTGAAACACCCCCTGGGGGCACAATCGGATATAGCCCACATATTTTTTTTCGTTTAGAAGTGGGACTGACCTGATGTATCTGTGTAAGTAGAGCCATCCCCAGGAAAGTTTGCCATCATTGTCCTTCATCTTCTTCAAGGCGAGATATGACAAGAGAAGACCACTATCAAAAAATGAAAACATGAAGTACATCATGAGATTTTGGAATCATGTTGTTAAGCCTATGAAGTGACATGGTAAAAAGCATCAAAACAAAGTACAATATATACTTGCAAATAAATCTTAATCTCAATCTCAATCGTCCAACCTGCTTTTCCATCTGTACATCATGTATTTGATTACAAGTTCCTCTTGCTTACTACATACATGCTGTTTGAACAGAGAAAGAAAACAAGAATCAATGAAGAAAGGGTGCATCATAGTTTCACATGAGGCATAGCCACGTCAAGCCATACAATTGCAGTATCATCTTGTCAATTATGGCCCCTACATGGCATTTCGGGGCATTATTACATGCTTTTGAAGTGGCCTCCATTATTTTTCACGAAAAATGACCCATTTTTCACAATTCACGGGTTTTGGGGTTTTTTTTGTGCAGATTTTGAAAAAAACTGACCCATTTTTAATAATATTTTTGTTAAAAGTGGAACCCATGTTTAGGATTTTTGTGTGAAAAAAATGACTCACTAACATGTGAGTATCTCCCTCCCCTCACCCCCCAGGGATTGGCTTTTGTCTTGAAATTACATGGCATTACGTGGCAGCTACAGCATCATTAATTTTAAAACAAAATCTATATAGCGCTTGCAGGCTAGATTTTACATGAAAGTGTGACTATGACATGATGTATTGGCTGTTTACCTGAGCAAGAAGAATGAATCAACAGCAAATGGTGCAGAAATAATGACCTGGAAGGTGATATCCTGAATGTAGTTTTTCAAGGCAAGAAAGATATTTTCTGAAGAAAAAAAAGGACAATGAGAGAAAAATATAGTACTGCAAATTAGAATTTTGTTTTCCATAAAATATGACAAAGCATACAAAAAGTAAAAAAGATGGCCAATATATGTACAGTGTTTGTAAGTGAAGTCTACCATTATGTGATAAGACTAAAAAAAACTTTGAAATAAATTGCAATGACATTAGAAATTACATTGTTAACATTAAAATATTCTTGATTCAGGTTTCTGATAGAAAACTGGTTGAGCCTTTCTTCCACTCAAAAGCAAATAATACAATGCACATTTAAAAAAAAAATTATCTCATTAATTCTGGAAACCCCTATCTTCTTAACAAAAACAACAACAATGATGATGATGATGATGATGATGATGATGATGATGACGATGATGATGGTAATGATAATAATGATGATGATGATGATGATGATGATGATGATGATAATAATGATAAATTGATGATGATGATGATGATACCGATAATAATGATAAATTGATGATGATGATGATGATAATGATGATGATGATAATTATAATTGTAAGGATCAAGATATAAGAAGCCAAATTTAGTTTTTGTTTTGAGGATACCGTAGATTGACTGGAATTGTTGTACAAACGTAGCTAGGCTTGTCACATGGAAACTACAGATATGATATGATGTGGGCACGGATTCAAGGAAGGAAAACTTTGTTTTACCTACTAAACTACTACTACTATTGCTACTTTGTACATTCCGGTGTATGGAATTGATTGGAGTTCAGTTGAGTGTTAATAAACAAAGAACCATGAAATTACCACATTGTCTCAAGGATCATATGTAGATATCTCTACAATAATGATGATGATGATGATGATAATGATAATAATGATGATGATGATGATGATGATGATGATGATGCTGCTAATAATGATAAATTGATGATGATGATGATACTGATAATAATGATAAATTGATGATGATGATGCTGATAATAATGATAAATTGATGATGATAATCATGACGTGGATGATGATGAAATGATGATGATGCTGATAATGATGCTAATAATGATAATGATGATCATGATCATGATGCTGCTGCTGATGATGATGATGATGATGATGATGATGATGCTGATGATGATGATGATAATGATGATAATGATAAATTGATGATGATGATGATACTGATAATAATGATGATGATGATAATGATAATAATGATGATGATGATAATGATAATAATGATGATGATAATGATGATGATGATGATGCTGATGCTGATAATGATAAATTGATGATGATGATGATACTGATAATAATGATAAATTGATGATGATAATCATGACGTGGATGATGATGAAATGATGATGATGCTGATAATGATGCTAATAATAATGATGATGATGATGATGATGATGATGATGATGATGATGATAATGATTATAATGATGATGATGATGATGATGATGATAATAATGATAAATTGATGATGATGATGATGATACCGATAATAATGATAAATTGATGATGATGATGCTGATAATAATGATAAATTGATGATGATGATGCTGATAATAATGATAAATTGATGATGATGATAATCATGACGTGGATGATGATGAAATGATGATGATGCTGATAATATTGCTGATAATGATAATGATGATGATGATCATGATGCTGCTGCTGATGATGATGATGATGATGATGATGATGCTGATGATGATGATGATGATGATGATGATAATGATAATAATGATGATGATGATACTGATAATAATGATAAATTGATGATGATGATGATACTGATAATAATGATAAATTGATGATGATAATCATGACGTGGATGATGATGAAATGATGATGATGCTGATAATGATGCTGATAATGATGATGATGATGATGCTGATGATGATGCTGATGATGATGCTGATGATGATGATGATGATAATGATAATAATGATAATAATGATGATGATGATGATGATGATGATAATAATGATAAATTGATGATGACGATACCGATAATAATGATAAATTGATGATGATGATGATACTGATAATAATTATAAATTGATGATGATAATCATGACGTGGATGATGATGAAATGATGATGATGCTGATAATGATGCTGATAATGATGATGATGATGATGATGATGATGCTGATGATGATGATGATGCTGATGATGATGATGATGATGATGATAATGATAATGATAATGATGATGATGATGATGATGATGATAATAATGATAAATTGATGATGATGATGATGATACCGATAATAATGATAAATTGATGATGATGATGATGATGATGATGATGATGATGATGATCATGATGATAATGATAATAATGATGATGATGATGATGATGCTGATAATAATGATAAATTGATGATAATGATGATGATACCGATAATAATGATAAATTGATGATGATGATGCTGATAATAATGATAAATTGATGATGATGATGATAATGATAATATGATAATAATGATAAATTGATAAAGATGAGATAATCATGACGTGGATGATGATGATGAAATGATGTTGATGATGATGATGATGATGATGATAAGGCCTAAAAAAAAAAGATGTTGTACTGCCCTTTAGATGCCCCAAAATGGGTCGGTCGGTCTGAAATCTCTCTCTTTTTTTTTTTTTACTCCCACTTTGGGCTGATATTTCTCAGTTTTGAATGCTTTAATACATTTTTTTCTTCTAAAAAAACGGTAATAACAAAACACTTTTTAAAACAGCCGACCATAGATTTCAAGATTTTGGGGTCGGTCTCAAAGGGCAATACAACATGTTTTTGTTTTAGGCCTAACAATAATGATGATGATGATGACGTTAATGAAAGCAACAACAATGATTAAATACCTGATAAGCCAGCGTTCATCACCATGGAGAATGAGTGACCCAAGATGACCCAGGTAATGCTAATAACCCGGATCCCATTCAAACAGGGGATGCCTCCTGCAGCCTGCTTGGTGCTAAGAATCCTGGGAAGGTTGCGAGGCATGGAAAAACAGAGAAGAAACTGCACCCACAAACCTGGAACGATGCAAAGATATGTTTCCGTATGAGTACACGTATAGTCATAGTTGTGAGAGACGATAAAACATAAAGAACTTAACCAAACACCTGAAATTTGAAATAAATAATTAAAGATACATATGCTTATTAATTACTTCTCTATCATCCCTTTTTTTTAAGGCAATTGTCTCTATTTTCTGAAGCCTAAAGTACATGTAGATAGATCATTTTTTTAAAGTAATAAAGGAGTGGATATGGTGCACCTACTTGTGTGCATGCATGACTTTGATTTGCTTAGAAATGTTAGGATTAAGTGCCCTACATATAAGTCTAATGTTTATAATATTAATATACCATTATGAAGTATCATAACATCACATTTCTTATTACATTGAAATATATCACAAAATGTGAGTCCTCTAATGAATTGCTAATTTCCAGGGCAAGGTTGTAGACAGAAAGAAACAAAGAGAAAAGAGAGAGGTATCCATACACAGAGAGAGAGATAGAACAAGAAAGAGAGAGATAGAAAGAGAAAGGGAGAGTGTGTGAGAGAGAGAAAGAGGAGACACATGGGAGAAAAACGGGCAGTACAAAAAATGGGTTGAGAAAAAAAGATGAAGAAAAGGAAGAGGAAACAAATTCAAAGAGAAAAATAAAATAAAAGGGGAGAAAAGAATTGACGAGATATATTGACGGAAAGTAGAGGAAAGCAAGAGAGAGAATGGATGGATGAACAGAACAGCCTAGGAAAAGTGCATATGTAATACCGGTGAATAAAAGAAACAAGAAGAACAGGAAGAAGAGGAAAAGGAAATTCTGATTTTTAAATAAGAGAAAGGAAGAGATAAATAATAATGATATTCAGTTCTTGTATAGAAATTATTACCCTAGCTTTAGCTCTGGCAGCTGTTATCAGCCCACAGTGCATTCCAAGGAATAATCCTACCAGGTACCCATTTACCTCACCTGGGTCGAGTGTGGCAAATGTAGATTAATGTCTTGCCAAAGGACATTAGTGTTTTGATAGCTGTTGGCCTAGGGTTGATTCACTCAAATCCAACTAAACTAGTACAATACAAGACAGGGACTACATCGTGTTCATGTGTCTAAACCAAAACTGATGAGTCTTAAAACTCTTTATTACGTCACAATCTTTCGTGCGCGCTTACAGTGTAGCTGCTCCTAATGAATATTTATACATATTCTTACATCCTCCCTTTTTTGTAAAAGATGTGGAGTGACATCATTATTTAAAGGATATAACCATATTACTGTCATGGATACACAAAACAAATAATTGTGGTTATTGAAATTTCTGTCTTAGTGCAATCTTTAACTTTAACATATCAAAATCATAAAGCATGAAATATATAGTCGAATGTTGAACTAGAACATAACTTTGGTGTACAAATAAGATTAAATAGCTCAAAATACAATCTTTGCTATGTAGTATATCAGTTGTAACCAGTTTTATGATTAAAATATCAACAAATTAAATGCTTTTTTTCTTCTTCATTTTGTTTTGTTTTTCTAACACAACACTAGAGTACTTATTTACAGCTGTCTATTATACATAATGTAAGCATAACACTTTTCAAACTAACAAACTCAATCTGATCAAACTCTCTTGGGAGTGAAATCTTAGCAAAATAAAACATTATCAGGATATTTTTGACTTAAATTCTTGATCATACTAAAATGTTCCGCAAAACTTTGGCTAGACATCTTTGTCAATCAAATAATTTCAACACATATGTATATTAACTTGCATTAGTTTTCAACAAAATCACAGAATCATCTTTTTTGCTTCAAACATCTTACTTGTCAACATAGTCACCAAATCTTTGGGGTGGCTTGCTTACTCTACCAGATCTGGTCTTTAGGAAAGACTGAGTGTCATTTTTGTCTACCTGTTCTGTTCGAGTATTTTGTGTTCTCTGAGGTTTGTTTTCTTTCACGTGATTTTGAGTACTTTGAGGGTGTTTAGTCATGACAGTGTTAGATGGTAGATACGCCTCTTTCCTTTCAGTCCCATGAGCACGTGGTTGTGGCTGTGGCTTCTCAGAAATTGTTTTCTGTTGATCTTCCTCAGTGTTTGGTGGGGGTTCTTCAGTTCTCTTGAGGTCGACCCTGTTTCTTCTGAGGAGTAATCCAGAGTCGGTCTCCACCTCGTAGGACCTCTCGTCGAGCCGTCTATTTACCACTGCTCTTTGCCAAACTGTGCTTCCTGATTTGTATGGCTTGAGACGTACGATATCTCCTTCTACTAATGTCGGCAGATCTTTGGCATGTAAGTTGTAGCGTTCCGACTGCTTACGTTGTAGCATTTTAAGCTTTTTCCTGTCTTCACTGAGAACCTCTGCACCTCTTGGTTTCAGGAGACTGGATGAAGTGGGAAGTAGTGTTCTCGTCCTCCGTCCATGAAGCCTTTGCGCTGGGCTACTGTCAACACCTTGGTTTGGGGTATTTCGGAGTTCTAGCATTGCTAGGTAGGCGTCACCCTTAGACTGTGATGTTTTCTTGAGGAGTCTCTTTGCAGCCTTCACTGCAGCTTCTACCTTCCCATTTGCCTGGCTGTGTCTTGGGGAGATTGTGACGTGATCAAACTGCCATCTTTTAGAGAACTTCGCGAAATCTTCGGATGAGTACTGTGGTCCATTGTCACTGATTACAGTGCTCGGGATGCCATATCGAGCGAAGTGGCTCTTCAGTTTCCCGATTACTGCCCGACTGCCAAGGTCATACAGTCTGTCGATTTCCCAGAAGTTGGAAAGGTAGTCGACGGTAACGAGGTAGTGTTTCTTGTTGAGTTCGAACAGGTCGGTACCTACTTTCTCCCATGGCCTGTCTGGGATGTCGTGTGGCATGAGGGTTTCCTTCTGGTTCTGCTGCTCGTACATTCTGCAGGCTTCACATGTCTGGATAAACTGCTTGACATCCGCGTTCATCCCAGGCCAATAGATGATTTCTCTGGCCCTTCTAAGGGTCCCTTCAATTCCAAGATGAGAAGTGTGAAGAGTTTCCTTCATTTCCTTGCGGAGGGTTATGGGGATGACTACTCTTTCTCCCCTGAATACTAGTCCATCTTGCACGCTTAGCTCGTCTCGGATATTGAAGTATGACTTAGCCGCTTCGGGTACTTCTGCTTTCTGTTCCGGCCAACCTTTGTGGATGACCTTCTTGACGGTCTGTAGAACCTCATCATTGTTAGTATGAGATTGCAGTTGTTTAACCCTCTCCTCTCCCATACTCAGGGTTTCAACGATGTTCACCTCACCAAATTCAGTGGCTCCTACAGTGGTGGGTAGGTAAGCTCTTGACAGCATGTCAGCCAGATGCATGTCCTGTCCCTTTACCCAGGTGATGTCGATGTCGTAGTGCAACATCCTCATTAACATTCCTTGAAGGCGTCTTGGTGCCTTATGGTGCCTTATGGATCGCCTGTAAAGGTTTATGGTCACTCTCGACTATGACCCTTTGTCCAAAGGTATATTGGTGGAATCGTTCGAGAGCGAAACATATGGCAAGTGCCTCTTTCTCGATCTGGGCGTACCTCTGTTCAGTTGCTGTTAGAGCTCTGCTAACTTAGGACAACGGTTGTCCCTTCTGGAGAAGTACTGCTCCGAGCCCTGACTTGCTTGCATCACACTGGATGGTCAGTGGTAGGTCTGGTGAGTAATATGCTAGGACAGGTGCCCTGGTCAAAGATTCCTTCACTCTTGACATTGCCCTCTCGTGCTCCGATGTCCATTCCCAATCGGCATCCTTATGTGTTAGTCGTCTCAACGGCTCAAACATATCGGACAGCATAGGTAGAAACCTTGCGAGGTAGTTGACGCTGCCTTGTAGGCGTTGCACTTCCGTAGGGTCAGAAGGGTTGGGCATCTCTAGAATTGCTTTGACCTTTTCAGGATCTACCTTCAGTCCCTTGTCTGTCACTATGTGTCCTAGAAATGGAATGCTTGTAGCCTTCAGCACAGATTTCTTCTGGTTGAGTTTGATACCTTTATCTCTGCATCTCTGGAGCAGAGCTTCTAGCTTACGATCATGGTCCTTCTCTGCTTGCTCTCTGTTGTCTCCAACACCAAACAGGATAATGTCGTCAGCAACACACTCAATTCCATCAAGGCCATCCAAAGCCTGTTGTAGCTTCTTTTGGAATATTTCCGCTGACGCATTCAGACCAAAGGGTAGTCTTTTCCATCTATATCTCCCGAACGGGGTGTTCATTGTTGTAAGGAAGCTACTCTCATCATCAAGCTCACAGTGGAGGTAGCCTGATCTCAAATCAAACTTGGAAAAGATCTTAGCCTTTGACAGCTCCGGGAGAATGTCTTCCATGACTGGCAATCTGTGTATTTCCCTTTGCAAGGCTTTGTTGAGGGGTCTTGGGTCAATGCAAAACCTCAATTCATTCTTGTCTTTCTTCTCAATAACGACCAGTCTGCTACACCATGGGGTTGGTTCCTCAACCTTTATCAAGATGTCTTGGTCAACCAATTTAGCAAGTCCATCCTTGACTCTCTGCTTCATTGCAACTGGTACTGGTTTGGCGTTACACTGTGTTGGGGTCACTTCTTCCCTGGTCACCAACTCGACCTTGCCAGGTAGTTTTCCAGGAGTTTGCTCGTCAAAGATGTCACTGAAACTCTCTAAGATGTTTTCAGGGCTTACAGCACAGACCTGGTTGAAGTTCTCATAATGTACAGTTATGAATTTCATCTGTTGTGAAGCTGGACCGCTCAGGAGTGGTACTAAGTTCTCCTTAACAACGATGAAGTTGACTCTGTACTTCTTGTTGTTCTTAGTGTTACGCAACACGACCTTAGCCCGACCTTCTGCTTGAAGACGAGAACGGTTGTACATTTTCAGTATGATGTTCTCTTTGACTATGTCTTCTGCACTCGGGACAAGGCTCTTTGAAATAACATTCACACTCGCACCTGAGTCAATCTGGAAGTTAGCTGGCCTGTTCTCAACCAACATCTCCGCAAACAGTCCTTTAGATGGTTTGGTGCCTGTAGCGTACACCTCTATCTCTATGTGGTTCACAGATTCCGTTTCCGACTCTGTCTGGTTCTCTGCTGAATCCTCAGACTCTACGTTATGGATCTCCTTCTTGTACTTTGATCCCTTCTTACAGCATATGGCGAAGTGGTTTTCTTTCCCACATTTCTTGCACATCTTCCCATAGGCGGGGCACTCTTCCTTTTTGCGTCTATGAGTATTTCCGCAGAACTTGCACTTTATGAGATTCTCTCCTTCTGGCTGTCGCCTTGGACTCTTCGTCCACTGCTTTCTTTCATGTGACTTTTCTACCCTGTGGATAGAAGGATCATCTCCAATGACCTGCATTTGGGAGGCAGTGACTTCAGAAGAACGGCAAATGTCTATAGCTGTCTCCAACTTCAAGTCTTTCCTTTGGAGGAGGATTTTCCTTGTTGCAGTATCAGCAATTCCCAACACGATGCGATCTCTGATGAGGCTTTCCCTCAGGCAGTCGCAAAACTTACAAGTTTTAGCGAGCTGTTTCAACTCTGTCACATATGCTTCGATGCTTTCACCTTGTTTCTGGTCCCGCTTGTTGAATATGAATCTCTCATATATCTCGTTGGTTTGTCCGATGATGACAGAATTCATCTTCTGGATAATGACATCGACTTTCTTGTCATCTCCATCTCTTTCAAAAGTAATAGCATTGAAGATTTTTAGACCTTCAGGACCTACTGTATGGAGAAATACAGCTCTTTGGTACTCACTGTCCTGTTGCTTTAACTTAGTGATAACCTCATAATTTTCATACATTTGTTTAAACATCTTCCACTCTTCCACCCTATCTTCTTTATGCCTTAGGGGTGGCGGTGGTGCAATATGAAAGGGAAGTTGAGCTTCAGCCATGTTTGTAAATGTCTACAATCCAATCTGTTACATGTAATGTCACTGAACCTGGTTCTGTCCTAGACAAAAAGTACCATGCATGCAGAGATACTACAACAAATATAATGCATTGGACCAATACTTAAAATCAGCACATAAACAGAAAGAATGCACTTGTATACTATCAATACTGGCAATCAGTATGGTACACACAATGTCCATACAACTCTTGAACCAAGACTATGTAGTTTCACACCAATAGGTCACATTACAGGGATCTACTAAAGTAATGACAAGAACGTCCCTGCCTAGGCCATCTAGAATACTAATGTGTCATGAACTTAGATACCATCAATATTATTGAATACACATGACATTATCATGAGACCTCCTCGTGAACTCTTACAATTCAGATTTTAAGTCTATCTCACTTCTATACATGACTAACTTCTAACAGAAGACAATGGTCAAACTAGCTAGATCTAAATGTAGATCTGTATTACTATTACTAATAATACTAGTCAGAACTCAGATGGGTACCATGGAATCCCCAATTGGTTGAATATATCATACAACTTACAAGTATATAGCTCTCAAACCTATAAAGTACAGAACAAGGGTTAGGCATATTGCTTATCAACAATAATCAAATTCAAAACAATTCCACACTTGACCCTCCTTACATTCAGCTCAGTCTTATAATATTAATAGCTGATTGTTGTCCAGTCCAGTATGCCTATGTAATTATAATTAACTGTTCAATCTCTTCGAGGTATACTGAAGCTATATGTCCTGAATATCAGTTCCAACTCAATCCGAGGTAGATATGGACCTATCGGCGATCGTTAAAGCTCAGTTTCTAGACTAGATCTAGATCTGATATTGATCAATCATCAAGTCCCTTTTCCTTGTGAAGACAACACATCTGGAATAGATTCTGGATACACCTTGTCGTCGTAGTGTAGATCTGGCAGTGACACTGGAGTCCGAAGTCTGCACATCAAGAAAGGCTCACTCAGTGACTGACGTTACAATAGTTGCGCAGTAGTTCCAGTTAATAACACAGTCTCATAATGTAGGTCTAACTTGTTACATGTAGGTCTACAAAGTCAAGTATGCTCCCATATCGCGTGAAGTTACTTTTCTGCTTCACTGCTGCAGTGCTGGGCTCACCTGTAGTCTAGTCTCGGAGGGTGCTTACACCATGTCCATGTCCGCACGAACACACACAAATACACTGTAGATCTAGGTCCTATCTAGACCAGAGTCGATCTAGACTAGCTTGTGATCCAATAACGATAAACTCCAATCAAGAGTTCGATTACACACATCATCGCACGACGACGTCGAAGTGGTTCCAGGTCCTCATGCACGCGACACATAAAAGTTCTTTCTCGTGCACCGGAATACGGATTCACAGAAGACACACACATGTAGTACAGAATATACACGACGACGCACTATAGTACATACCGCACCGCACTGCGTTGAAGTCGCCAAACTCAGTTCTCGGTCATCAACAATTCTGTCTCACAAAGCATGTCCAAAATCCGCTATCTCTACAGTGATCAGACTCAAGATCATTTCAACGGCAAAAAAACATCTATCCGCCGCTGCCACCATGTTTTGATAGCTGTTGGCCTAGGGTTGATTCACTCAAATCCAACTAAACTAGTACAATACAAGACAGGGACTACATCGTGTTCATGTGTCTAAACCAAAACTGATGAGTCTTAAAACTCTTTATTACGTCACAATCTTTCGTGCGCGCTTACAGTGTAGCTGCTCCTAATGAATATTTATACATATTCTTACAATTAGTGCCGCGGCGGGACTCGAACCACAGACCTTGTGATCAACAGTCCGGTGACATATCCACTCCACCACCACACCTCTACACATAAAGCAAGAATGAAAGAAAAAGGAGAGGAGAGACAGACAGATATAACTGAAGGATACAGTGAGAGGGAGAAGAGAGAGAGAGAGAGAGAGAGAGAGGGGGGGGGGGGGGAGAGAAAGAGAAATTCAGGGAGAAACAAAGAAGATGAGGGAAAGAGAGAGAACTATTATGTACTTACTGTTCTTGGGTTTATCCTCAATGGCTGCTGAATGATGAGATCCAGCAAGCAAAGCAGTGGTTTCTGATGCTGGCCCTGAGGCAATGTGAACCTGTAGATGGAAGAAGGAACAATATTATCTTTTTAGTTAAATAGACTGGTAGTGAGGAGTACATATTGTAAAAGCACATTTGAACATGTATGTATATGGAAAATGCGCTATATAAATACATTAATATTGTGAAGGAAAAAGTCAAAGAAAAGGAAGAGGATTTAAATTCAAGACAGTGCAATTTTAAAACACCAATACTTGCAGCATACACTGAAAAAGAAATTTAATATTACACAAACCAAGTATCTTCTTGCAAAAACACTGTGGGCTCGGGGATGAAACATTTTATGTTATAAACATTAAAAAAATTCAGATTGGACAAGTATCATAGACATGTATC